ATGAGTTCGCTTCCTGTATTACCGGCTCCCAGTTTGGCATTCATATGGCCTATGGGGATTTTGATGTACACGCCACACTAAAAAATACATATAATCACTCTCAGCACCAATCCTTTTCGAGTCGACCACAGCTACGACAATCGGATGACGGGAAGAATTTAGCAAAAGTTTGCAGAAGACCAGGAACCTCTACCACACAACCAAGAAGTGAGTACGAAGAAATAAAATTGGCTAGCTTGTAATAAACGACATTGGATATTGATTAAAAAGCGTTAGTACGAGGAGATGAGAATGACTCAGAGTTGCGCCAGAGACTGAAATATTATTACAAAATGAAAATACCCACAGTTGTTTGTTTTTCTCACAGGGGAAAGCTCTGAAGGTTATTAAAAACAGCAATGTGTTTAACTTGGCAAGGTGTAACCATTCGGACTGCACGTTAGCTGCTAATTCTCTGTATTCACAGTGTTTTAAGGTATATTTTTAGATCAGATTTAAGGTTTTAGGAGTAATTTAGGGTGGGTTAAACCAAGATATCGATACCACACAAGAGGTTATGCACTCATGTCAGAGAGTTTAAATGGGAAACTGGGCAGTTTGAGCTATCTTGAATAAATTAGACGTAACATTAATTCGACACTACTCCTTACGTTTCTTAGTTGCCTCACTTTTCCGACAAACGGCGTTTTCACTCCTGCACTCTGTCAACGTAAAATTCAAATTTTACGTTGACAGAGTGGGAATTCCCACTTATATCCACGTACGCAATGTTAATTGATAAGAGATTACATATTTTCCTATTTATACTACCTGTTTGGTCGAATGCATACCACTTTTCTTCGTGGAACTTCAAACCACTGTGCAATTAATTGTAATTACATCATAATCAAGAAGTGAGTGACAAAAACACTGCATATCCCAGCTAGCATTTTCTTTGGGCGCATTGCAGACTTTTTGGGGCAAAAAACTTCGGGTAAATCTACTTACGTGGGACACTGTCCCGAAGTCTGCCCCAAGAAGTCTGCAATGCGCCCTAAGTCTACCCCAAAAAGTCTGCAATGCGCCCGAAAAAAATGCTAGCTGGGATATTAGTTCCTCATTTGGCGAGTGTTTACATAGAAATGGTACGTTATATCAACTGATATTGAGTCCGTGCTGATAAGTAGGCGACTATTGATTGGGAGACGGGATGAATGCAAAATTTGGGAAATTGTATATTTCCTGGTGTGTCACCCACAAGTCACTCGTCCGTAACTGCCGTACTATTCTGCGTTTTATTCATGTTCCATCTGTGAATTAATCGATCGATTCGTAAAAAATATTCCGCATACTAGAAGTTTTTCTTACCGTCATGTTCATACAGTTTGCTGCGACTTGCTCGTCTCTTGTTCAGGAGTTTCTGTTTGTGTGCTCAGACTCGCTAGCCCTCGTTTAAGTTTTAATTGGAGATTTAAAACATAAGGGGAGGAACACTCAAAACCAGCTAATCTGGTATGTTCTAATTTTGCTACATCCACTCTTTACTTTATTAAGGACTACTGTGGTTGGACAGTTGCAGTCGGAGTCCATTAGGAATCTGAAACCCGGCTTTCTGCTAAGTCTTAAAGTCCGTACTGTTTTTAAGACTCAGCCACAGACCGTAATGACTGGGTGGCTAACCTTGAGGAAAACAGTACATTTATAGTGCTATTTCGTTGCTCGGCATCTCTGGACACATACTTTTTCGGGAAAGTCAGCAATCGGCTTTTGTTAATTCCGCTCTTAAAGACCTTGTGTAGAGAAGAAATAAAAGAGTTCTTCACGAGTAGCTTCTGGAAGGGAAGATGCAGATTTCCAGCTATCTTAGGATGTGCAAATAATGTCGGTCATTCTCTGTTGTTGACTCAGGAAATTGATAACATAAGCGGAGAGGTAGTTTGTAGGAAGCACTCGTTTAAGATCCCTAAATCGTTAGGTGATGGATTGCTTAAGAAGAGCATCACTAGTTTGTCGGCTCACCACTTCATCACCAAGCATTAACATAAATTGTGGGAAATAATATTTTTTATGGGGAAGGTTCATAATTGTCTGCATTGGAAATTTCCGTGTTTCACTTCGCTGCTGTCTCGTGAAAGCACTGTCTACAGCCGGTATGTAAGTACAGGGTTTAGGTTTACTATGCTCTATTGACGGTTTCTCCAGGGTCGATGAATGTTCTTCCGGTGTGTTCGTTTCCCCGTCACCATCTATAAATAGGGTAGTGAAAATGTAGCTTTTTAGCCGACTTGTTTAATATCCATTTACTATCAACAACAGTTTGACGCGAAAATAGAAGGAATACTTGAGGAAAAAGTTATCAAGCTGTAGTAGTTTTACCCTTGTGGTGTTTTGCTTGATGATGCTTGTCCGAAGCTTAGTTTTCTACATAGGTTCGAGGCCGGTAGTCTTGTCTGTCAAAGGCTGGTTAAAGCAATGTTATATACCATCCTTGTATCGAAGAAATAAGATCTTATGGGCGGATTTCGCGACTTTGCGTCATATGCAGGTGTTTGCTTGGTTTTAAACAGCAGCTGAACAAAATTTCTTCCTATTCATATAGCTGTTTTACCCAAGAAACCTTTGCGTTATTTCACTACTCTAATGTTCTCGACTGCATATAGCCCGAAGTACAAATGATACCAAACATAAAGTAATTGATGTGATACACGGGGTTGATAGATGGGAGATGTCTTCTGGATATCTTAATCGACTAGAGAATGCACGAGTGTGAAATTTGAAATATGAAACATCTCGTTTTTATCAACTTTAATCATGGAGACTTATTTTCTTCCTACTCCTCTATTCCAAGATTCCAACAAACTTTGTCTCTTCTTTTGTCAAACATTTCAACAATTCGTCGTATTTATTGCCTTTAAAACAGTCTTTCAAAAGGTTGTCATCTTTCGTACACACGAACTGAAAGTTTTCGTGGAAGTTGCAATTTCAAGAGTCTTATAAAGTGCAAAGGCAAAACAAAAATATTATTAGTTGTTCATCCTCTATTCATATGTTACTGAAGCATACTTCCCTTGTTCCTATGTGTGCATATGACTGCATAGCACAGACGGCTGTCAACTGAGGCTCCGTATCACCTGTAAAATTTCTGCTACACAGACTTATCTTGTCAGCAGACCAATAAGTCCACAGAGACAAAACATGAAATTTTCCGAATTTTTCAAAATAGTTTCATCGATTAGAGATGAGTTAACGGAGTATGTACACTCCGATCTTGTTTTAGTCAGAAATATGGTGTGCATTCGTAGTGTAATTTATCAGTTTTAGCTAGCGAAGCCTATTGTTCAATTCGGTACAGAGTTCAGAATTTAAGATGTAATTGTTGATATATTTTTAAGGGACTAGATATAGTGCCTCACCGGTTCCCGACTTTAGCATTATTCAAGCTTGATAAAAGTTGTAACTGTATGATAAATAATACAAAAAAATGAGTAAAGAAAGTAACTCAATTGTTTGAATACAATTACCCACAACAATTCTTTTATGTCCTCGACAACGAGCCATACTTATCGTGTTAGGTTTAGTGATACTACCGTGGTTAAAATAGGCGAAGGGGAAATGGAACCTGAAAACCGAGTGTTTGAGCCATTTGGCCAAACCTTCAGATAGTTGAGGATGGAACAAAAATAAAGATGTTAACCAGATAAATTTTGTGTACTGATGAAGGTGTGTAATTGACTGACGCCATCAGGCTGCAGAAAGTGAATATCATGTCTTCTCTATGTACTGGTGGAAATGTATGCCATCTGGAGACGGGATTCATCTGTGTAAGCCATTGGCTTTGAGTCACTAGTCCTGAGTTGAAATTCCGTTCCACTGACTTCAGCCTGTGTAGCGTCATTAGCCTGGTATATGACATACTTATCATGGGTATCCAATTCCAACACAAAGTACGGAAAGAGAATTACAGTGGATACAGATGACGTAGGATACCTGCTTAAGAACAGACATACAAAAGTTTGTAGAATTTGATTCGTATGTGAAGTCTCATTGCCAGTTTTGAATCACTGCTACTTGAGACGGATTGTATAGTGTCCGGGAATGAATTTTTATCATCTTCCCTTCTCTAAATGTCAAAGTAATACATTTGTTTAGTAGTCATGAAAGTAACACTAAATTTAGTTGGGTCACTGCAATGTGCAAGCGCGACCACGATATCAGTGTAACAAATATTAGTTTATAATTATTAAAACACAAAATTGGTACCTTATGGGTATCAAGAAATGCACCATACAAAATTGTCTCATAGATTATGCGAGGACTAACATACTTCCTGGAGGCCCAAACTAAAACAGGTGGTCATCTTAAGACGCTACCCCTCCCCTGAACCTTTAACTTGAAGTCTGATTCCCAAGGCAGTGAAGCAGCCTCAGCGGCTACGTTACTGTGTTTGCCGATGAATAAACAGAATCGTAAGCCATTCGATCTTTTCGGATCCTGGAGCTTATGTATATAACATAGGTTTGGAATCAGGTTTTTTATCTGCTCTAGGCAGTGGACTTGCATCTCCACCAGTCTGGATGTCGGCGCCAGACGTTCGGATTCGCTCTTTTATATTTGTGAAGGTCTCTGCCACCACATGAAAGCATTGAATAAGAGTAACTTGGTTGAGGTTATGAACGCGGGATGACAATAGAGCATTTGACAGGGAGAGCAAAGTCTACCGACCGTCAGCCGTATGAGGTCGTTTATGGATGCCAGCAAACCTAACTTTATATTTCGCTCACAAGTTTATTTTATGAGCGAGATATAAAGCTGGGTCTGTGTTATATTTGGTTTTTAATGTATGACTTTATGTGCTTTCTGACAGAACACTCACTAGATATTGTCTTATCTTTTTCAAGCTACCTATAATCCACCTTTATAACTCATTTCCGTATAGGTAAACTGATTTTCGGATTAGTACTATAGGGTAACGGTTTCACCTCTAAAGCTTAAAAGTCTTGCTGAATTAGTCAACAAGTTCTATGAAAATGCTGAATACAGAAGAAATTAACTCAGAAGAAAGTGTTGACAGTTTGTCAGAAAGTATCTCCTCTAATTCAGGTAGTCTTTTGTCTCTTAATTTTATCTCACTTCTTTAGTTGAAAGCACCTATGCCATTGATTCTATAAACGATGCTATAATAATGTTGACCAATGAACCGATCTTTTCAAATCTATTCTCTGAAGATGAACAAAAATGGTTAGAAAAATTTAAGTGTACTTCAAGTATGGTATATCAAATTTTCGCATCGAATAATGCCTTATCACTTAAAATAGATAAGTCTAAATCACTAGCTCTTCGTTTATATGGTCGATCACAGAAAATTTTTCGAAAAATCGATATTTTAAAATTGATTCAGAATGATGCGGATCAGTGTTTGAATGAATTAAACACTTTAGGTTTATTGTCTACAGGTTAGTGTTATCTACTATGTAAAACAAGGGGGTGTGAATTGTTTAAATTATAGATTTACAGGTACTGTCTGTGGATTTATTGATTGACTCACTCAATCGTCAAGAATTAGATCAATTGGCAGGAATGTATAATATTAAAAACTACAAAAGCCTGGTTATGTCACAGTTGAAGCATACTTTATTGAAAACATCATCTGTTTCTCCTATGGCTTTGTTTTTCAAAGTTCCCACACCACCAAAGGATAGACTTAAAAGTCAGTAAGTTGAAAAGTATTGTCGGCTTTTTGTTCCAATGATTGATTGACTGTGCGCTTTGGGAAGTTTGCATAGGCATTTATTGTTTCCTGGCCGCCCATACCGTGGAAGTTAACTTCTATTTGGTGTACCTGAATTGAAAAGAATATTAATGTTGTGTGTCCATAGAACCTAGAGGACAAACGCTTGAATCAGTTCACACACACGACCTGCTTGATATGGTTTTTGTAGTTGTGTTCGTAGTAAGATCTTATCACTAGCTACAGCGCGGCACAAGGCAAGCTGAGATGTACAATTTTTCGGGCGTGACCTATTGTAAACCCGCTTCCCCAGAGCGGATAGAAAACACAAGTTGCTTGCTGATTGTCTGAGGGGAACACCTCTCTGTTGTTTCATCCTTATCTTTCAGTAGTACCACCCCCAATATAGTGTAACCAACTTACATTATGATGGTAACTACTTTTGGCCTAACTGTTATCCAAGGGACCTGTTTCTTATGGTTGGATGCACAGCAACATTCATTCCAGGCAGTGCAACTCGTTGGGTGTCTATTTCACTCTCTCTTTTATAGGATATGAGATTTTCGTAGTTATGATGACCATAACAACAAACTTTCTTTCCTAAAAGACGCGCTTGCTGAAAACAGTTACCCAAACTGATTTATTGATAGAAACTCACAGAATAAACATGCTAAACCGGTCAATAACTCAGTTCCAAATAAAGCTGTCTTCACAGATTTCAAATTCAAGGAGGATCAGGCATCAGAGATACTCAGAAATTGTCTTTATAAACCAATCAGTAAAACGTTCAGTTGGCCTTCACCAGTAAGAAGTTGTCCTCCGTTTGTGTAAAAGATAACCGTCATATGGCAGTCTCTATCAGTCCACCTACTGTTATGTAGCAAGTTACATCGACCGTAGACAGGGAATGCTTCACACATGTATATAACAGCACATTTCAGCATGGTTTTACAAGACAGGAAGGAGAAGTGTAAATATCTGCATTCTGGAACACTTGACTAACTTCTGTTACTCAACCAACCCCAGCAATGATCTTAAGATCATATATCGAATTCAGACTTCTAAAGACAATAGTGGTATAGGCTATTCACGAATTTAAACTATTTTATATTTTACACGATTTGTTTTATCTCTTGACACTGAAGTATGATTGTGATGACAGATGTTCTGTAGCAACTGATATTATTATAATTATTCACGCCTTCAGTATAGATTTGCTCACGTTATATATATATATATATATATATATATATATATATATATATATATATGGTAGTGAATTTGTTCCTAAGGGTCTCTTCATTGTGTATTCATTCTTAAGTTATACATTTGTTATGTTCTTGTCTTTTTCGAAAGCAGACATCAGTCTCTCTACACAACAGTCTTGAGACATAAAACTATATACTACTGGTTGGTTGAAATAAATAGAGGTCTACCTCTCCTGTCCAACAGTATAGTGGTTGATAGCCAACGAGGTTGAGGTGATCTAAACATCGAACGACCGTTTCGCTCGTTTGGGGCTGAGCTCATCAGCAGTGTACCTGGGTTGACTCAATGCATAAAGCCGAATCAGTTCCAACCACTTGGGTAGAATTCGGTTGATTTGAAGTGACTAGACTCTCTGAGCTGAGTGAAACCAAATGCGTCCCCAGACTAGCGAACTTCAGACGACAACTCTCCATAAGCTGTTAACTGCCTGCATGAATTAGAGTAGAGTGCCTTGATCAGTGCTATGTATTTCCTAGGCATTTCCTTCACAGCCAAACATCGCCATAGTACCTACCTCTTGGTCGATGGAATCGAATGCCGCCGTTAGGTCAAGAAATATGACAATCGTTGGACGCCGATAAATATGCGTATGTTCCAGAATCTGTCGACTGGTGAAGATATGATCAATACATCCTATAATGACTAAGCTTTCATCTTTTAAACCCTGTTACGCTTTATTTTAAATATGTATGACAAATAATAGTGTGGGTAGGTGATCAGAATGTCTGAAATATGTTGCGCAAATGCAAATTACACGTCTTGCTTATTGTCTTGTAACTTTTTATTTCAATTTTGATCACGGATTGATATCTCAGTTAGAGAACTATTGAAAACTAATAGGGAGTACTGGAGAGCCGGTCGTTTCATCCCAGTTTCGAACTCATCGTCAGTACGCACCGACCGTGTTACGAATCCAGTATCTTTCGGTTTCAAGAAAAGCTCGTAGACCATTTAACCACTGGGACCATGAATTTTAACTTGTACCCATTGGTGATTTTAGAGGGGGTGCGTACTGTCGATGATTCCCAAACTAGAACGAGACATTTGGCTGTTCAGTACTTCCAGTTGGTTTTCAATAGTTCTCTAACTGATATCAAACTTGAAATCGATCAAATCCCTACGAATTAACTCTTGATAATTCTTATTTTTTTTTTTTTTGCAGAATTATTCGCATTCTTGATGGCTGTTGGCGTGTTGATGAATCCAGGATGCAGTTAATCACGCGAATAATTTGGTTGACATCTCTAGGCTCTGAATCAGCTTATAACAGACCGAATAAACTGCATTCAATTGAAGCTTTGTTGAAAACAGAATTGTAAGATATCATTATTGTTATACTATATAAGTTTCATTTTATCCATTCGGGAAATCTTTCGAAAAAATAATTCCTTTACAGTCATATTTAACTCGGAGTTTAATCACGAACTGAATCCAGTGACAAAAAAACTGAAAAGCAAAAAGTAGTGGACAGCTGCTTCATCCTAGCTTGGAGTCATCATCAGTATGCACACATCACCACACTGGTAGGGATTAAATCGAAGACCTTAAGGTTCCGAGGCGTGCATACTTATTATTAAGCCACGGGGATAAGATCTAGTGATCTTTCCATGAATGCTAACTTTTGTCGAGTCGCGATGTATATCGCAACCACCAGTCAATGTTATTGGGGGTATTTGTCCTCAAACTTACTTGGTGGACCCCACTGGTCACGACTTATGACTGGGATTCCGTCGTCCTCTAGTCAGTTAGTCACTGACGAGTATCAGATTAATTTTCAATTCTTGAAAATTCATGGGCCATTGAATCGGTTCCCAGTGGTTGAATGGTATATGAGTCGCTAGCTTGCCTTGTAACTGGAAGGTCCTGGGTTCGTAACCTAATGGGTTACAAACTGGGACGAAACACTTGGCTGCTGGTTTTCAATGGTTCTCTGACTGAGATATCAATCCATAATGTAAGCTGAAACAAATCAAATCCCTACAAACTAATTTTTGAAAAATAATAATAATTGTTACGAAGGTGATTGAGTCTTAGAACGATGAGTGATGCTTGAATCTTGAAAAGACGAATGAACCAAGAATTTAGGCTTTATTCATTTTACAATGAAGGCGGAATGGCTTAAACATATAAAGGAAAAAAAGAGTGTTAATAGCGGTAGAGATATGAATATGACTAGATACGTATTATAAGAAAAGTTCACAACAATAATATCTTTATTCTGGACAAAATATTTCCACAACGTACAGAATTTGGAGCGTATTTTACTCCCTAACATTTCATAAATTGACGACATAGTTGTGTAGTTAAAACGGTAATAATTACAGAAATTATCATGCATTGTATTGGATGGAAATCCAAGTATCGCATTGATTCAACCAGGGTCATCAAGTTGATGACTCTTGATGACATATAAGTATAAAACTTGGGCACTGTGGTAGAGTATAACTCCATTATGGATAAGATTTTATTTTGATAAGTCACACAGTAATATGAACTGATGACCACGTTTCGAGCACAAATTATTGCTCATAATCATGTCAAGTTACCCACACAACTTTTTCCTTCATTTATATACATGCGTCGAATTGACTAGACATTGGAATAAAAGTCAAATAGGATGATGTACATTCAGAAATAATAATAATACGAGTGTTATTGATCAATTACAATTAGATGGAAAATAAGACGAGTGTTTTTTATAGTCATAATAAGTAACTTGTTAGAATGTTGTGATGTGCTTGAATTGAAATAGAATTTTTAGATTATTGATTATCCTCTTCTGATGTGACCGGCGGAAATAATATCTTGCATATTTCTGTTGCATGTGTCAGGTGTAGACTGAATGAACCAAGATTCAGTAATCAACCTCTCTCTCCACCTACATAGATCAGATTACTTCTTAGAATTTTAACCCTATCCCACCCTATTGTGCGGTTGTGTGTTAATGCGTGAAGTGCAATTGCTGAGCTTTTTTCTAAATTATTTACCCTTTCAGGGTCAACCATTCTTACCTTAGCTAAATTCCTATGTTCTGACTATCCCCGACCTACTAGTCTGACCTATGTAGTTGACCTCACTCACAGTCATTGCAAGGTATCTTTTAAATAATATTATTTTGTCTAATTGGGTCAACCGACGAGGTCCTTTAGCCTACAGAGTTTGTCCTACCTGAGTGAGTTTGTAGGTTTGAATGCCACCCTAATTCCTGCTTTATTAAGAATCCTATGTAGGGTCTCAGGTGTCCTTTCTTTATATGGTATAACAGTAGATGACTTCTATTCTCTCTTATTTATGTTATCATTACTAGTTTCACAATTATTTTAAATTTGCTTTTGGCCTTTTTCGATCTTCCTAATGAATTTTATAGGATATTTATTTAACACCAACGTCTCTTCTATCTATTTTATTTCATCATTTAGGTCTTTTCTTGTGCTACTTAGTGCTACTGCTCGGTTTGTTAAACACTTAACTAAGCCTGCCTTCACAGACAGATAACGGATGAGATGAAATAAAGTCTAAATATCTATTAGAATGAGTTGGTTTTTTATAAACGCTAGTGTTTTATTTTACAATCTAACATAGCTAATTCTCCTTGTTTATTTTCCGATTCAAATGTGAATTTTATTACCTCCACTAGTGAGTTTATGTGTGTCAAGAAGCTAGATAGATATGTTCTGTTTTTAACCCTGTGGAAGTGTCATCCACATATCTCCACCATATTTTTGGAGTAGGATTAAATGTTTTAAGAGCCATATTTTTCCAGCTATCCGTAAATACATCCGCTACGATAGGGGATGTTGGTGATCCCATTGCTACACCTTCTATTTGTCTATATATTTTACCTTGGAATTCAAAGATAGTACATATCAGATGACATAAAATGACACGTGATAAGTCAACCAGTATGACTGTAATTTTATGCTTAATTATTCATGGTATACTTTTTATGTGAGTGTACTGTCAAATTATCAGTGTTATACATTTTTTCTTATATATCCATCATTTTGTCTAATTCATCACTTGTGTAATTCTTTTCCCTATTTACCATATTATCATAGATATGCAATGCTGCTTGTTCGTCGTAAAGAATTAATCTATCCAACGTATATATTGAATCGTAAATCCACTATCTATCGTACCAGTGATGAATTACAAAAGTTTGTCTATTATATTTGGCATAGATTCTTGATTATTATTATTTTTTAATTAAAGATTTCTAGAATTTATGCAATTAGAAATCAGACTGGAATATTTGACATCACAAAAATCCTATGACAGTGCTTTAAAATTATGCCTGGACAAGAAACCGGAATTGATTCATGAAATTACAAAGTAAGTATTGGTTTTACAGTAGAAATAGAGAAAAAAAATATGTAAAATTCTCGTTTGTTTGAAGAAATGGAAAATTTCTCATAGTTTTATAAATTATTTTATTTACTTTTCCCTTGGGTTCCAAGTGGAACCTACGGCTTCAACAGCTCTGTTTTCTCAAATTCCAATTTAGTTAACTCCATAACCACCTATAAGTCTGCACTTCCTCCTTCCCCTCCTGCTCCTCTCCCTTCTCATATGATCTTCCCCATGTCACTGTCAGACCCACGCTCAACTAGTTGCCTCTTATTCCATTTCCACTTAATAATAATAATAATAAATTTGCTTTATTCCAGAAACAGTACTCTAGTGGTACAGTGTGAAATTTTCAGCACTTTATCTACAATATTGCATTTAATTTCATCGCACATTTTAAAAGGAGTATTACAAAAAAATAATAAATATAAAGACAACAACATAGCGTCGGTGGTATAGCGGTTAGGACGCTCGCCAACCATGCACATGGTCCAGGGTTCGATCCCCGGCCGCCAACGCACTCCTTTATCTCGCTAAGCCAGAAATAAAAAGCTGGTAAAGAGGAAAGGTTAGGCATGGGGCTAGCAATCCCATCCTCTAAAATAAACTCTGCTACAGAAACTTCAAGCCACTAGCTTGGAGCCCTATGTTCCACTGGGGAACGTGAAGGAAAAATTATTATTATTAAAGACAACAACAACAAAAAACAAACACAAAAATAATAAAAATGTGAAAAAATACCAAAAAGTAGAAAGGAAAATAAACAACTTAATAAAGAATATCTCAGTATTGGGTAGTACAAGTTATGATATGTTTATGCGTGGTGAACAGTAACAGCTATAGTCATACTAGAAGTTATAAAATGATATTTAAGAATGTTTATCGCCAAGATGATCAGTTAATTGGATTGAACAACACTAAGCAATCATAAAATAAACATATCAGTGTTTTTTTATTGTCAGCACTAATGCAGTGTTTGTTGTGGTAGTGTGAGTAATCATGCATAGTACAAAATTTAAAGATGGTGATAATGGCGTTCACAACCAAGATTGTCAGTTTTAATGTTGCCGAACAAAAAAAAAACAATCACAAAACTAATATTACATGAAGGTTAATGACAGGACAATCTTGTAATAATCATAGTGATAATATAGTCGGACCCAGTAGATACACAAAAGAAGGAATAGAATTAAGTACAAAAAATGTAAGCCAATGTTAATAATTTAGGTAGCTGAGTATGTTTAAGAAGGTGTTCACTGTAGAATACAAATAAGAGAGAAATAAAAGTGCCTAAAATTATGTTATTAACAACAAAGCAAGTCATAAGTTTCGCGCTTAACACTGCCTCTGTCACTTAGATCGCGAGCCAAATATGGTGTCGTTGAGTTCCTGTACATGGTTGTACGATCATATATTATTTTGTACTGATTTCTGGTTCTACCTGATGAGATACAAGGAGAGAGTTGGGAATATAAGGAGTGTTGGGGATCGGAGAGTATGGTTTTGGATCATTTTTCGCATGTATTCAGATGCCTTTCTATTAATGTAGTGACGAGCTGACTGACTCTTACATCACTAGTCCTACTAACTGCCTTCAACATCCTTCTCAGGATGGTATAATCCTTTTTCAGTAGCCCAGGAAAGACTAATCGGGAGCAATAAAGTAGAATAGGTAAGATATGAGAGTTGACAAATTGTGAAAGTAGAGATTGGGTGATTTCAGATAGTCTAAGTTTCTTAATGTAGTAGGTTAGACGGAACACTTTCTTAGAAATCGTTAGGATATGACATGGCCAAGTAAGGTCAGAAAATCGGGCTTAGAGTGTCATATCACTTGAAAGTCTCTTCAGCCTATGGTCAGTGTATCTCCATTTGCTTCTTCATGTTCGTTGGGGAATAGATTCTTGGTTTGCTTCGTTCACAGAGTTCCTTGGTATTTTTTTTAAAACTATTTCTTACCATCTGGTCTTCTGTATTAAGTAAGACAGGTGTTGATCAGTGATAGTCTGCAGCTTACTGGAAATACTACAAGTCTCCGAACCACATAGAAGCACTAATTTGACATGAGTATTGAAAATCCAAGTCGTATTCTTTATGCTTAATGTAGTCGATTTCCACACTGATTTCAGAGTAAATAAGGATTTACGTTTCTTTGACATCCTCATCTGTATCATCTGTAGTTGAAACGATGCTGGCTAGATGAGTGAAAGAATTTCTCCTGTTTGTTGTGATTGGTGCCCCGTTCTTTGACAATATACACGGCGTTGCAATTCGGTCTTCACATGATTTGCTTTTCCCGAATTCATCTTGTTCCCTATGGAGTTTTGGATACATAACCACAAATAAAAGGAATATTCAGACTGATCAGGTCACTCTGATTGCGCAATGGAGACTTTTCTCTATGGCTGTGAGACCTGGCCATTGAGAGTGGAAGACATGAAAAGGTTGACTAGCTGTTTTTCATCATAAGCAGGTGCCTGCGTTCTATCTCCCGTATCAGGTGGTATAATAAGGTCAGCAATATTGAGGTTAGGCTTCCGTCGAGTAGTAGGTAAGGAAGAGAAATCAATAAACGAGTCTGTGAAGTTACATCGATTGAAATGGTTAGGAAATGTGTTACGCATGCCTAGCCATCCATCACTTTCCACAATAGACAACGTTAGCCACTGACGTGGGATGCATCAGGTTGGGAAAAAGCTAGTGGTGGTCAAACCAAAACATAGCTTCATCAGTCAATGAAATACAGAACAGTTAGTTTAAGCCCCGTAAGGAGATGTAAACTTCCTGACTGGTTGAGGTCCTCAGGATGGTAAAAACCAATGGCGACTGGAGACAATTGGTGGGTGATATGGCTGTCGCAGATGCATCCACTACTTGTGACGTATGATTTCCAATAAAACTATATTGTTCTTCTATGTTACTATTCTTTTTGCCTCATACGGCGTTTCTTTTTACTTTCTTCCCTTGCTTTGTGTGCTACTTGAAGTGCGGCGACTCGAACTGCTGCACATCTGTGCAAAGTTCTATGTTGAAACCAGCCAGTCAGTCAGTAACAGACTTCTGTATTTCTTGTGAATGTGTACTTGTGGATTCATCACCAAAACCACATTTACCTCCCTTTCGTCTCCACCTCCCTTGTATTAAAAAGATCAGTGACAGTCAATTCTAATTTGAATTATTTGATGGATAATGAACAGCAGTAGAATCCAGGGTGGGCATTTCGTCCTGGTTGGGACTCGTCAACTAGCTGTACCTGGAATTCCCAGTGAGACTAGAACCCAGTGCCCATCGTTTCAACAGTATTTGGTCACGAGAGTCACATTTTGTGCAGCGGATATCAATTATTATTTGTTTAACCTAATTTAATATTTCACTCATTCTGGATTGCTATGCTAATCACTGCACAATACACCAAGTAGTATCATGTTAATCCCCAGACGTTATCCAGCTTGAGTAATAGAAGCCAACTTATCAACAGAGGTCGAACATTTCTGTCAAATACAATCAATCAAAGGGAAATAAAAAATTAACTCAGATATATAATTTGAATTTCTCCCAGGTAGTTGGAGTTGTACACGATCTCATCTGAAGTTTTTGTCTTATGTGTTTTTTAAGAAATACTCCGTATTCATTTCGAATGTTAAATTTAACTGTTATCATAGTTGTTTTATAAATGATACTTTGAAAGGGGAATTTTGTTTCACTCTTATATCTTCTCTTTGTTTCCTTTATTCCTCTCTTAAACAAATTCCTTTGGCTTTGACTACTGAGGTGAAGAAGTAGTATGAAACTACTAGCAAGTAGTATATGTATGTATGTATGTATGTTTTTCATCAGTTTAGGAAGTGTAGAGTGTCTGTCGCCAAAGATTTCACTCTTTTAAAAAATGTATGCATATTTGTCTATCATTTTACCAAAAATGCTATTTGATTAGAAAAACATTTCCAACCACAAAGTCTTATCAAAATATACCAAGTATTAGAGAGGTTTTGAATATCTACGAGAATAAACTGCTCCCCTTTTAAGATTATCTGTGTGATAAATATAAGTTGATGTGAAAGTTTTTCAGCTTGTAATAACTTAAATTAGATCTTTTTGGGAAACGTATTCGATGAGAGTGGTTGGGAGTTAGACCAAGCGACTAAATAAAGAAGTACGTTTTTCAAGTATTGGATTTGTAGGGATTTTGTTTGATTACATGGAGGATTTCATCATGAGCTGACATCAGTTAGAGAACCGCAGGAAAACCTGGGAGTACTGGAAAACCGTTTCGTCCCAGTTTGGGACTCTTCAACAGTACGCACCCACCGGGGTTGGAACCCGGAACTACCAGTAACTCGTCGGAGAAGACATTGAGAAATGGTCGCGCTATGTCGTGAATTGGCAGAAGTTAAAATTCAAGGACCATTGGATCGGGTCCCAGTGGCTCAATGGTCTACGACCTCGCCTTGTAACCAGAAGGTCCTAGGTTCGAACCCTGACGGTTGGTGCGTACTGATGAAAGGTCCCAAACTAGGACGAAACAACTGTCCACTACTCCCAGCTTGTTCTCCAGTGGTTCTCTAACTGATATCAGCTCATGATGAAATCCTCCATGCAGTCAAGTACGTTTTCCTCTTTTCTGTGTTAGTTTCTGTTACCTCTATGATTTGAAAGTTGTTATAGAAGTATTAATGAATAGATTTACTGTTCTAGCTGGTAACTCTATAGCAGTATGAACTGCTGACTCTTCAAGAAGTAGTGCAACAAGGAACTCTAGCAGGTAGTGAACCAGCCAATAATTTATTGCTCAACAAATATACAGAAAAGAAACTGTGATGGATTGAACATACTCTGAGAAGACTTCCAAGTGACATCACAGTCCAAACTCTCGAGTGGAATCTGAGTGAGAAGTAATGGGTTAAACGCCCTACAGTCTGTCTGTCTGTCTGGATTCAACATAGAGGAGATCATGTGCAGAGGAAGCGAAAGCTTATGGGCAGTTGAAAGTGATGGTAGAAAATAGGGTTCAGTGCAGATATCTCTCTGAAGACTGATCAAACCAACTGATCAGTTCATAACCTAACTTAAATGCAAAGTAGCTCCAAAGAGGTAAAATGTTATAGAAATAATCAAATTTAGATTCGGAAAGGCAAGGAAAAGAAGAAAAATTACCTGCCTAAGTTTCCGTGCTTTATATGTATATACCGAATTTACTGGTCAGTGAGGTTTCGCACTGAAAAATGAGTCCTTTTATCAGTGTTGAGAATTGTCTTCTTTAAATATGGAGGCATACAGTCGATTCTGGTTCATTAGTTGAATGGTCGACAGTGGTCGACATATTCACACTCCCTCTTCTGGGTTCGATTCCCTACTGAAGCACTTTTAAACCTCGCCTGGTTTTTAGCGCTGGTAGTAAGTCTGAAAGAAAAGAAAGGCTGATCTTGGGGCTAGCAAGCTGACCCCGTAAAAACAGCGCAATTGGACATACTGGTGTCCAGAAATAGCCTTATTTTTTCACAGTATGGTATCGTTTGAACTCAGTTATCTTGATTTTTAGTGGCATTGTTAGCGATTTCCCCACTTAGTAGAACATCTGAAACATGTGTTACCATGCATATCGAGCCACTGTCTACCTTGCTGACCATTGTTAGCCACATTTGAAGCTGGTGGTTATCAGATGAAGACATGATACTTACCTGTATACTTTGCAACTGTTGGTTTCGATATGTTGCGGGGGGGGGGTATAAGTCGTTTGACTTGGGTCCTAGTGTAACGACAAAAGACAAGAACCAGGCAACAGATTCTTTATTGAGGAAATCAAGAGATATTTACGTATTTTTATGTACATTGTTGTTCGTTATTACTAGCAAAGAAACACCGTCTTCTGATTGGTTGTTTTCTCGCTGAAAGTTAATCTGTCATCTCTTTGTGGCCGTTCCTTTGACGGTCAGACCATGTATCTGCGAATCGTATCCGCCCACGCAAAGGCTTTGTTCTTGTTTTTCTCATCACCAAGATTTGGGAAGTAAACATTGACGTAAATTACTGTCTACCAGTTTTGTCTAGCAGACAGCTCTCATCACACTAGGTATGCTGAGAAACAATGGTTCAAGAATGTTTGTGACATTGTAACAACAGAAGACGAGGGCCAGGCAACAGATCGTTTTATTATGAAAATCAACACGTATTTATACATATTTCACATACATTATTATAGACAAGCGCAGTTATCTGATTGGTTGTTTATCAGAAGTTAGGCAGACAAACGCAGGCTTCTGATTGGTTGTTTCGGGATTCCTCGACAAATAAAGTTCTCTATCTGCGAATCATATTTTGCCACGTTAACTTTGCTGTGATTGGTTGTTGAATCAGCCTTGCTCATATTTTCTCACGGCCTGCTCTCACCACAACATAACTCAAAATTATTCTCACTGATACAGTTGTACTCAATCCCTTTTGTACTTCAGATCCTGGTGCTGTCCACTGACCTTCATCTAATTTTTCTCTCTCCCGTACAGTGTAGTTTAATTACATTGCATTTTTCGTATTTCTATATGTGCTTTTCCAAAGGGCAACGGCTTGATCCAATACATTTTTGTGAAAAAGCGCCATACTCACAGGTCATTCAGTTGGCGTTTCGACTTTAATTGCTGTTTTGAAATGTTAAGGCTGTACGGTTGGATTCCGTTGGACACTTAAAGTCGTAGATAATATCCGTATTTAATTATCGGCTCACATACTCTCCCTAATGTTATATACCTACTGGTTACTGGTTGTTGCGTTTTTAATGATATTATGACACGGTTTCGCTTACAGTTTATCACTGCGTGCAACTGAATGTCTTGGTTGAATTTCGCTTTCATCCCTCGCTTTCCTTGTAGGGCTTCAAGCTTCTGAAGTTCCCGTAGTGTCACCACACTCACACCCAGCCTCCCCTCCTTTTTGGATTTAACGTAAGCTAGGTTAGGAGTTAGTCGGCTGAGAATCGAACCATGGACCACTTTGTGTGGTTGTCAAGCATTCTACCATTGTACCACCGACACCCAAAACAAAAGCAATACAACACAATACATGATATATATTGTTTTGATGTATAATTTAATATATCACATTGTTTACGCTTTCTCTTCTCTTCTTTTCTTATTTTATTTTATCACTTCTAGTCTATCATGTCGTCGTATCGATCTGCCACAATTCTTACGACGTTTCACCTCACCCTATCGTGCACTACGCTGTCTACTCTTAATGATTGATATATATGAACGTCAGAGGAGTTATTCAGAAGCAACTGAATTGATTGAATTGCTACTATCTTTATCATGGTCAAATTGTGATGATCCGTTTTTGAAGATTGCTTCATCATCAACATCATCGCCAACGTTGTCGCATTGTGTTTTAGATCAATTAGGTCCATGTCGTTTAGGTCATCTACTGAATCGATATATAATTAATCAAGCCACGCATAGAAAACAACCAATACATGCACTGAAACATATTCATAATTATTTTAAATTATATAATAATTGTTTATGCCTTAGAGCTGGGCGTCGTTTAACAATTTGTGATCAATTGATTAAATTGTATAATAATATACTGAAAGAAGTAAAGCAGAAACAGTGTACAGTGAAAACTATTCATACAACAACTATGGATAGTGATAATGATAATCATGATAATGACGACGGTGATGGTGACGGTGACGGTGATAAGAAGATCAAGAGTAAAGCACATTGTAAGAAACGACGACGTATTGTAAAGCCAAAGAATGATAACATTAAAAATTGCAATCGTAATAATTATAAAGATAATTGTGATCCTAAAATTGAAGAAGATTTATTGACAAGTATTCCTGCTCTTCAAATGGATATAAAAGAAGCACCTAAGGTATGTTTTTAAGTATGAAATGAGTAACTTTTTTTGCCATACTTAGTAGATAGGGTGGCTAGAATACATTTTGCGCCTATCAAGTCATCGCTCTCCTCAGCGAATCATGTTAGCTGATATTGGAGTAGACAAGAGTTAGTTAGAGGTATTCAAACAGAAACCTGAAATCAGTCCATGAATTCCTTGATGGTTAGTTTGAGTCAGCCAAGTAGGGAGGTATAGACTGCCTTTTTGACTGACTGACTGACCAACTGGTTTCAACATAGATCTTTGCACAGACGTGCATCAGTCCACCTTAGTTGCCACACTCCAGTAGCAAACAAAAGAGAGGGAAAAGAGATTCAAAATAACGATAACAAGCAGAAATGTGAGGGAGGAAGAATAGTAACATGGAAAAAACGGTAGGGTTTTACTGGACATGACAGATCACAGAGAGTCGATACGTTTGAACCATTGAGAACTATATGGAGCCATATCACCAATTGTCTCCACTGGCCATCGGATTTTAGAATCCCCAGAACTTCAACCAGATACTCTACACTATCCTACGTGGCTATTGCTAACTGTCAAAGACTTCATGAACTGATTTTTTTTTTGATTTACAGCTTGATTCCACACTATTTTTGGTACAAGTATGGAATTTTCAGCATGGATATCGGTAGCCCAAATTTTGCAGGCCGACCATAGATATCAGGTGTGCGCCGGCGTGGGCTCGAACCTCGGACCATGTGCATGGTCGGCGAGAGTCCTAACCACTGTGCCACCGACGCACAGTTTCCGTTTGACCATCGGTAGCTCTTTTCCAACGCGACCCCTATGTTCATTAACGTGGTTCGTTGGGGGGGGGGATGATGCCTATGCATGAGTAACACGTGTCCTAGCCGTCTCAGTTGATGTAACTTCACAATCTCATCGATTGACTTCCATTCCTCACCTACCACTCGACGCCTAATTTCAATATTACTCACCCTATTATACCACCTAATGCAGGAGATGGAACCCAGGCACCTATGATCAAAGACAGCTAACCGGCATTTTCATGTCTTCCACTTTCAATGGCCATGTGTCAGAGCTAGCCATAAAGGAGGATGGAGCGAACTGGTGAACAGAACACACGTCTTTTGATCGATAGCCAGCTGGCTATCACGTCTATGCCAGAGACGGCGTACAATGGCATTGCGAATTGACCCTTTTTTATGCGTGCTGATATTTCGTCACCAATCAGCTCGTTTTGGCTTATACAACTTCCGAAATAACTGAAGCGGTTAACATGCTCCAGCAACCGCTTGTCTCCCTATCTTTAAGCTAGGAGTCAGTATATACCAGTCCTGTGACGTCATCTTGCACTTGACGGGAGCGAATAGCAAGCCAAACATTTGAAGATTGCCTCCCAAGGTGCTCACAATACTCTACAATTGATCAACATTGCTTTGTTGGAGTCCTCAGGGTGCTTAGAACCAACGGCTGGAAACTATTGGTGATATGGCTCAAAATCGTTAACAATGATACAGATGTATTAAACTCTCATGTTTTCCCATGCTACTATTATTTTCCTTGTACATGTCTGCTTATAGTTAGTGTCTAGCTAGCTGATTATGCTAAAATGTCATCTAAACTGAAGCTCACTACTTTGGTTTTCATCATTTTTAAACAAGAGAAAAGATGAATACGTGTTTCTCCTTCCTTTCTGTTCTAGAGCTAAGGTAGAAATAAACACTGTACATGCTTCTTTTGTATACAAAGGTCTTCGTGAAATTCATTCTGTCTGTCTGGATTCAACATAGAACTTGGCACCGAAGTGCACCAGTTCGAGTTGCCACGTTCCAAATAGCACACAAAAGTAGACAAGAAGATGAGTGAAGAGAATCAATAGAGTTTGACAAGTATAAGAGTGAAACAGAATGGGTAATGGTAGAAAGGAATATGAAAGATTACAGAGACTGAATACATCTGCGCTGGCCATTGACAACGATTTTGAGCCATGTCACCTATTGTCTCCAGCCATTGATTCCTAGAGTCACGTGGGCCCCAACCCGGAAGTCTGCATCTCCCTACCCGACCGACTCAGTTTAACTGTCAAGGATTTCATGGATTGATGAGGCCATGTTTTTGTTTGGCCACCACTGGCTCTTTTCCAATCTGAACCGATGTCAGCTAGCAATGCCCGTCGGGGGAGGCGGTGGTTAGGCATGCGCAGCACGTGACCTAGCCATCTTAGTCTATGTAACTTTATAGCCTCGTCGATTGATTTTCCCTCTTTGCCCAATACTCTACGCCTAACGTCAACATTACTTATCTTGTGAAACCACCTAACGTGAGACAGGGATCGCAGACATCTATGATCGAAAGCAGTCAAACTTTTCATGTCTTCAACTCGTATTGGCCATGTTTCAGAGCCATAGACAAGGACGGAGCGAACTGCTGAGCAGTACACACGTCCCTTGGTTGATAGCCAGCCGGATGTCACGCCTACGCCAGAGATGGTGTAAGTCAGCGAAAGCAGCTCGAGCTTTTCGGATCCGTGCTGAGATTTCATCGCCAATCAGTCCGTTGGTGCTAATACAACTTCCCAAATAGGTGAAGTGGTCAACATGTTCTATCACTTCACTCCCTATCACTAAGTTAGGAGTTGACGTGGTCCAGTCCTGTAGCAGCATCTTACATTTTGTAGGGGCGAATCGCATGCCAAACATACGAAGATTGCTGCTCAAGGTGTTCAGAAGACTCTGCATTTTGTCAGCATCCTCCCCTAACAGGACTATGTTATCTGCATATTCTAAGTCCATAAGACTATTCCCTGGTAACAAGTCGATTCCTAAGTCATTACGTTCAGTTAAGGATACTTCCATCAGCATATCTATGATGAAGTTAAACAGAAATGGGGAGAGTGGACATCCCTGTCGGACACCACTGGTTGTTACCAATTCAGATGACAATTCCCCATAAGCCCTTACACGACTACGTGAGTTTGAATTGGCTGATCGATAGAAGTCGACCAGGTGTTCGAGAATATAGCTTCTCATACCCTTCCTTTCTTTGTCGTAAATCCGTTCTAGAATGTGCTACTATATCCTTGTGGAAAACATTCCGTGCTCCACAAGAACAAATAAACCGATAGATACACGCGAAGATGGCCAGACCAATAAATGAGCTTATCTTTTACACACACACACACACACACACGAAGAAACACTTCTGCCTGGTGAAGATGAACTGAAGTTTCACTGAAGAAAACGCCTTACTTATTGATTTAAAAGGGGGATTTTTGAGCATCTCTGAAACCCGATCACTTTTGAATTCCAGATTTGCAAAGATAACTTTCTTTAGAACTGAATCAGGGACCCGCTTAGAATGTTTATTCTTCATGTTTCACTTAGCAAATCAGTTTGGTTAGTGCTTTTTAGGAAGCATGACTCTTCGGAGAAAAAAGGTGCTGCGTCAGTAGTGTCAGAACTACAAATGCATCTTATTCTATAACAGGGGGAACGAATAAGATTCCTGTTTCTGTATATTGAAGTATGATTATAATCACAAATATATTTTATTGCATTTCACATTATTATTATTATTACTGCGAGATTGCATGGTCAATATGTTCAAGCCTCGGTGGGAACATTATCACTCAGTGAGGTTTGCTGGTACATCCAGATGACGAGTCCCAAGTGGGAAGAAATACGCATCCTGGATTCCGATGCTAGTTACCATCCACCAACTAGCATACCGTTTTCAAGTGTTGGTTTGTAGGGATTTGATTGGTTTTCAGGATTTCATCATGAGCTGACATTAGTTAGAGAACCATTGGAAAACCTGGGAGTACTGGAAAACTGTTTCGTCCTAGTTTGGGACTCCTCATCAGTACGCACCCACCGGGATTCGAACCCAGGACCTTCCGGTTGCAAGGCGAGCTCGTATACCATTAGGCCACTGGGACCCGATCCAATGGTCCTTGAATTCTAACTTCTGCCAACTCACGACATAGCGCGACCGCTAGCCAATGTCTTCGGCGAGTATTTGTCCTCACACCCGACCCTCTGCACCCTACTGGTCACGACTTCCCACTGGAACCCAGGTAACTACCTACCTGAATAGGGCCAGTCGCCAGTGGGCATCTCATTGGTATTCAAGTGTTGGTTTGTAGGGATTTCCTCCCAGGAGATAGTTTTTAAAACCATATATATAATGATCATGCAATTCGATAATAAATTCATTGAAAAGGGTCTCTTCGATAGATATTTTGGTCGTGCTTTCGACTGAAAGTTTTATTTATTAAATATTTATGACATATAAAAATTTGCGTCGGTGGCACAGTGGTTAGAACTTTCGCCGGTCATGTACATGGTCCGAGGTTCGTTCCCCTGCCGACGCACACCCGATATCAATGGTCGGCCTGCAAAACTTGGGCTACCGATATCCATGCTCAGAATTCCATACTTGTACCGAAAATACAGTGTGGAATCAAGCTGTAATAAAAAAATAAATAAAAAAATGTTATTATCGCCCAGTTCAGTGGAATTTGATAGAATTGAGACTTACTAACTTGGAGACTAGATCACTCTGTTTAGAAAATGCTCCCTCTCTGTTATGTTTGACAGTCTACGCACCATAGTTGCATAAAACCACATACTACTGATTGTGCGTTGGTGGCATAGCGGTTAGGACGCTCGCCGACCATGCACACGGTCCGGGTTTCGATCCCCGGCCGACGCACTCCTTTATCTCTCTAAGCCAGAAACAATTCCGGTAAAGAGGAAAGGTTGGGCATGAGGCTAACTATCCCATCCTGTAAAATGAACACTGCTACAGAAACTTCAAGTCAAAAGCTTGGAGCCCTGTGTTCCACTGGGGAACGTGAAGGAAAACGACAAAAAAACATACTACTGATTGATTGATATAAGTAGTTGCACCCAACTCACTTCAACCAGTACTGCTTGCTAGCCTAACCAGATCGAAATGATCTAAACACAACTGTAAGATGTTTCGCTTGCTTGTTACCGAGTCTATCATTGGTGTACGTGGTTTGACTCAGCTAAGGGAGTCGAATCAGCATAAATTTTGCAAAATATGCAACTCATTGTACATGAAATTTGGAGACACTTTTTTTTTATAACGGATGGAAACCACTCACATCAACGATTAGCGCTTCCCTACCAAATCAAGTCGACATGAACACCAGACCATGGTAGTTACCTACATCCATCTAAATTCTGACTAGCTAGTAGTTACGCGAACTGGGGTTATCAACAGGTGAATTTTCCTCTAATTTAGCTTGAAAATCCGCATTGAGCGATATGAAAAAGAGAAGACGGTCAGCGAAGAGACTCTTTTCGGCGAATACATTCACATAGCTGTGCAATCGAATTTATGTATAATTATTTGTGTGTGTGTACATGAGGTTTGTCGAGTTTAGATAATTAATCAGGTAATATAAGGATGATTTAATATAGAAACAAGGTTATAATTAAACAGCAACTTAAGTAAGATTGAGTTATTTTAAGTGTTGGCTTGTAGGGATTGGATGGCGTAACATTAATGACGTCATCTAACTTACTAACTCATTATTACTTTAGTTGCTATCTGATTAACCTTCTTTCTATAATAGATCATTCTTGTATTACCTGACCAATTATCTAAACTTGACAAACCTCATGTACACACACACACACACACACAAATAATTATATATAAATTCGATTGTACAGCTATGTGAATGAATTCGCCGAAACGAGTCTCTTCGCTGAATGTCTTTTCTTCTTCCTCTGATTTGTCCATGGATAATAGTTTTGTCTCTCACACAAATCCTACACCATCTTATATTACTCTTCATATCATTGTCAAATATTCTTTGAGTTTCTTTCAGCCAGATAGAGGTGCTCCCCTCAAGTTCGAATCTTGCTTCAACCTATACTTCAACCTGGAAAAATGTTGTTGGTTAGTTGTCACTAGCATTCACAGAAATAAATGTAGCTAGCTCTTAGTCAGGCATATGGGAATCCCTTTTTTTGAGGTAACTGACTTCTAAGTAAGTTTTTTGTTGGAAGTTTTTTTCAGTTCTGTGAATTGTTCAAGTTCCATTGAAAAGTGATTCTTATCACTCCCTCCCCCCCACGCCATAAATGTTCATTTTTTTCTCTCTTCTTTATTTTCAGGTTGAAATAGTTGCACCAGTCAATGCAACCGCTAAAGAAATTGGTACAAATCGTCCACATTACGTGTGGTTTGAAACACTTTCACCTAGTAAACTACAAAAGGATCAAAAGTCACACGAGAAACGTAATACCTTATTACTTACAGTTGAACAATGGACTGTACGCTATTATATGGCAAATAAAAACTTTGAACGTGGTAAGTTTTAAGCGTTGATTTCTTATTTTGGCGGGGAGGGGGCGGTTTTGTATGTCATTGAAATATCCATTACCACCAATCCTACACGGAGTCAACTGTGGACTTCATATAGCTTGGTGATAAGGTCTTTAACTCGGCTTCGAATACCGAAAAGAGGTATCAGTTCCTTTAAGGTTGTGCGATATACCTTTGCTGAAAAGTGTCAATGAGCACGAAATGTAGGTCCAGAGCTAACTACCGATTGTCTCCGACCATCTAACACCAATATCCTATAATTATTGCTTGAGTACTCCTTTCATTTTCATCTTTTTATTGTGATCAATCAATAGCAACTGACAGCTTGGGATCACAACTTTCTTGGCTAGAGAACCATTGAAAACCAGGGAGCACTAGATAACTATTTCGTTCCGATTTGGGGCTCTTCAGCAGTATATCCCTATGATTTCACCAAGGACCTAATCGACACCTTTCTGTACATAAATCGGTGACATGATGTGTCTTTTTTGGGAAACGTTTCATCAGACAAGGTGTCACTGGACAGTTTTTTCTCTCATTCCTTTGAGGAGTTCTGAGCAAAGCGCTTCTTAAGTTTCAGCGGCAGAGGTGTTTTTGTTTCTCGAGTTGAAGTTATCAGTCTCACACCCAACCTTCTCACTTTTCTTAGCTTACTACTGGCTAGGCGAGTTTTAGGAGTAGTGCGTCTATCTGAAATCGAAGCCGGCTTTTCGGTGTAGCTTAGTGAGCATTCTACCATTGAACTGTAGATGCATGACTGAACAACTTCAGATCGTCGTTATCCATGTACTGTACTGAAAAGTGAAACTTATTCAAATCCTTATTTCATAAGTAAAACTACCACAATCAAACTAAAGCCAATAGTACTAAGGACCCTACAGCGTTAGCATGAGTATGAAGTGCTTGACAATCCACCTGCGTGTCTTGTAATCCCGCCAAATAAGTATTGTCGTCACATCAGGCAGGAATAGCACTACTGAAGACTTTTGCAGCTTTCAGAAGCAAGTTTCTTGGAATGTGTCCACATTATTATTATTATTAAAACGCAAACTTGGTACATTATGAACACCAAGAGGTGCACTACACAAAATCTCCTACTTTGTGCAAGGGCTGGAATACTACCCGGATGTCCACAGGCGAAACAGGTGGTTGTCTTAATTGGCTACTCACCGCTCTGAGGCTTCAACTTGATGCCTGAGCCAGAAGGAAACGAAGCAGCATCAGAAGCTACATTCCCACGGTTTTCAGTGAGCGAAACAGGTTGATACGCCATTCAATCTTTTCGGATTCTACAGCCTGTGTACACACCACTAGCTTGGAGTCAGAGTTTCCCAGCTTTCCTAGGTGGATTCACATGTGTTCACCCTTTCACTTTCGTGATGGACAGCCCAGTTGCGTGAAGACAGTGAGCAGGACTTACTTGATCGAGACTATGGACATGTAGCCACTTCATAGGAGTATTTTGAAAGGAGGACCGAAGCTTCCTCGACAGTTATTAGGCCATTTATGCGGGTATGTGTTCATTTATTCAGATATGCGGACGAAAATTCTTCTGCAGAGTAAGGTAACCATGATTTTGTCAAGTACATTGAGTTGATTCACCTCTTCAACAAATTAGAATGAGTCTTTTAGAGTATGTTTAGCTAGACGTTGTCTGACAGGTTCTAACCTATCGGCTAACTAACGAGCAACTTTGTGAAAGGGCGAATTCACCATTGAGAGTATTGGTCTCATTGGGCAATTCTTTTTATGTATCTTCGGCAGACCATACGTATATGGTAGACGAGACCCCGTGGGTTTTAACCCATTGTACGTGTGGTCGTCAATTATTTTCTTTTTCATTAGCTCTCTGAGTACTTTCGTGACTTTCTTTTCTGCCAAATCCGTCATATCCTTCTTGCAGTTATCAATCTTAAATTTCGATGTGTCATTCAGAATAGACTCCATTTTTTGGAAATATTCAGCCTTGTTCATCATTACCACACGTGAACCTTTGTCTGGTCGCAGTGTGACGATATCTTCATTGTTGAGCAGACGTTTCATTGCTTTTAGGTGTTCTTTCGTCATGATTCTCGACTCTTAAATTGGTGATCATAGGTACTGGTTCGAGATATCAACTAGTCTTGATTTGAACCAACCTTTCTTATCTTCATTAACGGGGTGTAAGTCGGTTAACTGGTTGAATTGGGCGTCTGTGTCTATTTTATTCACAAATTTTCTCGATACATGGAACTTGAAACCGAGTGAAAGTTTCTCAGTTCCAATTTGATTTAGCTTTACACTTGACTGATTGATAACATATTTTTCGAGGTTTTCCGCGAAGCCTTCACTTCATTGTTCTTTCACTAAACTCTTCGATAGGGCTGTTTTGTAGATCTCGGATGAAATTTATGAATTTGACCCTGCATACGATGTTTAAATTATTGACAATGCTTTTTAAAAGAGCTAGCTTCTGTTTTCAGCTTCGTAATCAGCTGTTTCGTTTATTCAATATTGGATTTTGTTAAGCGTCTGAAATTTTTCAAGGATGGAGGAAGGTTTTTTTATAAACTGACGAGGGAAACAGCAGGAGCGCGTAGACATTGATCATAAAATTTCAGTCGAGTAACCTTACGCTGCAAAATATCACTCGAAGTTACTCGACTGAAAATTCTTCTCTCTATTCTTTCGATCTATATGATTTGGCATGTATATGCAAATTGGTGTGTGTATGCATTTGACGAAAAGATAGACTTACCTTTTTGGATTAGTCCTCCTAAGATGAAATATAAGACTTCACCTTAAATTAAATACTTTCATTATTCTTTTCATTTTGTTTTATGTATATTTTAGGCATACACTGTGAATCACAGATTTATCATCTCTTATTCACTATACTATTCTATGATATTTTATTTGAAATATCACCTTGTCCAATGGATGTATTTTATTCCTATCGACAGTCAGCACCGTTAGATTTATTTACAGATGAATTTTACCAATCAAGAAAAGGTTTAATTGATGCTAGACTTGAATGGATTATTAATGCGGAAGAGTTAGATAATGTAAGTGACTCTTTTCTTTTGTCTACTACAATTATTATTATTATTATTATTATTATTATTATTATTATTGTAATTATTACGATTGTTAAGTATTTATAACTGTTTCCCCAACCCCCTGCCTCCTCCGTTAGATCATTGCTATTCAACAGTGTTTAGACAAGAAGGGAAAGTCTATCGATGAGGTTGTGAAGCTAGCCTAGCCTACCCATCGATCGCCTTCCTCGACGGTCAAATTTACTGAAGAAGTAATGGTAGTCAAACGAAAACATGGAATCAGTTCATAAAATCTTTAACAGTCAGTTTGAACCATACAGGTATATGTAGACTGCGTGGCTGGTTGGGATCCTTGGGATGGTATGAACCAATGGCCATTGGAGACGATTGGTGATATTGTAACAACAGAAGACAAGAGCCAGTCAACAGATCGTTTATTAAGGAAATCAACACGTATTTATATACACTTCATGTACATTATTATAGCTTATTCAAGCAAACAAACACAGTCTTCTGATTGGTGGTTTCTCACCCAAAGTTAACCTTGCATCTCTTTGTGACTGTTTCTTGAATGTCAGATCATCTATCTGCAAATCGTATCCGCCTACGCAAAGTCTGATGTGATTGGTTGTGGAATCAGTTTTGGTCCTTATTTTTCTCATGACCAATATTAGGGACGTAAACATTGACGTAAATTAATGTCTACCAATTTGACTAGCAGCCTGCTCTCACCACAATAAAACTTAAAATTTTTCTTAATGGCTAAAGCAGATGCTGCACTTCTGTGCAAATTTCTATGTTGAGACTAGTCAGTTAGTGCTCACTCCGTATGACGCCAGTTAGTAGTGAACCTCCTTCTGCCTAGTACCAATAGATTTCTTGGTAAGCAGATCACTATTCAATCACCGAGTGAAAATACGATGATATCTTCCATAATAATTTGTTTATTAGATATTAACACAGTGTGAAACAGTATTATTATTTACTGGATGAAAAAGTTTCGAACACAATTTATGATTGTTCATAATCATGGCATCAAGTATAATCACACAACTTTGAAACATTCGTTCTTATAGTTTTCTTTATTCTTTCGTATTCGTTGCCCTAGGGGTAGTAGAATTATCCAGATATTCGGATGGTCAGGTGTTGAACCCTTCCTCTTACACTTGTTTGCAGTTGATTCAATAAGCATAAAGCTTCAGTTATCAATCTCTCCCTCCATCCTGTTACACTGGATCTTAAAACTGTCATCTTACCGCATCCTACTGTATGGTTGTGTGTGTGTGTGTGTGTGTAATTGCATGTAGTGAGTGCTATAGCTGAACTATCCTCTAGATTTCTTATCTCATTTGGGTCAACTAATCTAGATTTTGCTAGGTTTTTGTACTGCTCCGCTAGTCTCTCTGAATGATCCCATTCTACTACTTTGACCTATGTATTTAACCTGACAATCATTCCAGCAGGCAGGATATTAGATAAACTAAATTTTTTTGTTTAATTGGCTCCTCAGGATCCTTTAACCGACAAAGCGTATTTCTAATTGAGTTTATGTGTTTGAATACCAGCTGCTTTTATTCCTGCATTGTTAAGAATTCTCCGTAAAGCGCTTTCCAAGGTTTCCTCTTTGTATGGAAGTACTACTGATTATTTAAATTCCCTATTGCTGGTGTTGTCATTATTCTGTGCATCTTTGACATTCATATCGTCACTAATATTACTTTTATTATTGTCACTATGTTTGCAATTATTATCAACTTTATTTTTACATTTACATTTCCCTACATACTTTCTGATTATTTTACCAGGATAATTATTAAGTTTCAAAGCTTTTTTTATATGCTTCACTTTTTGTCTTAGATTTTCCTGGATACTACTTAGTTTTTGTGCTCCATTATTTAAACATTTCACCAATCCTACTTTTAGTGAAATAGGGTGAGATAATTGAAAATCCAAATATCGGTTCTAATGTGTGGGTTTCCTGTAAACACTAGTGTTTAACTTCCCATCTTCATTCTTTTTTCACATTGCAATCTAACATTGGAAGTTCCCTTTCCTGACTTTCCAATTCATAAGTGAATTGAATTGCCTCCACCTTCGAGTTGATGTGTTCTAAAATTCCATTTATGTTCTCTTCTAACTAAGTGGATGTGTCATCTACACACCCTTTCACCATACTTTTAGGGTGGGACTGAACGTTTCAATCGCTGAGTTGTCCCACTTATCCATGAATATATCTACCACAATCGGGGACATTGGTGACTCCACGACAACTGCCTCACTGGGCTGAATACTTCAAAAGACTTCTTAATCAACCGCCACCTAGAATGTGCCCAACAATGCTGACAGTGGAAGCAGGACTACCAGTGGATACCAACCCTCTGACGAAAGTAAAAATCCTGAAACCCATAAAAATGCTAAAAACTCGAAGAGCAGCAGGACCATACGGAATTCCCTCAGAAGCATCGAAAATGGACACAGAGACATCAGTAGACTTGGTGACACCACTACTGGAAAAAATGTGGAAAGAGGGCAAGGTACTTGCAGATTGGAAGAAAGGCTACTTATTCAAACTGCTAAAGAAAGGAGACTTAACTCAATGCATGAACTGCCGCGAAATTATACTCCTGTCTATCCCAAGCAAAATACTAAACCACATCATCCTGGAGATAATCAAAAACTTCGACCGGAACAGGCAGGATTCAGGAGAAACAAGTCATGCATTGATCAAATCGCAACACTACATATCATCATTGAACAGAGCTTGGAATGGCAGTCAGATCTCTACTTCAACTTCATCGACTTTGAAAAGACCTTCGACAGCGTGGATCGAGATAATGTTAATATAATAACAATTCAATATGCATTACAAGTATGCTGACGTGTTTCATTCTGTTGTTGCCCAATTAATTTTCTTCGCTTTCCAACTTTCTAGCTGTTGGGTTGCTTTGTGTAACACATTCTTTTGTGCTTATACAGTATCAAATATGTATTCACTCGTTATTAGGATTCACATTATGTATATCTTCACTATAGTTCATTAGCTTTTTGTTTTTCTCATACTCACGTTCATTTATTTATAGTATTATTCTGTTCCTCTCTTCTTTAATGCGTTCCTTATCTGTAGTGTAGCTACTTGAACTAGGGCCAGGCAACAGATCGTTTATTACGAAAATCAACACGTATTTATATATATTTCACATACATTATTATAGCTTATGCAAGTAGACAAGCACAGTCTTCTGATTGGTTGTTTAGCAGAAGTTAAGCAGACAAACGCAGGCTTCTGATTGGTTGCTTCAGGATTCCTCGAAAAATAGAGTTCTCTATCTGCGAATCATATTTTGCCACGTTAAGTCTGCTGTGATAGGTTGCTTAATCAGCCTTGCTGATATTTTCTCACAGTCACCTCTCACCACAGTGTAAGTCTATGAAAAGGCTATGCATCAATGTTTATCCAGACACCTCCCCAATGGATTCCACTTTATACCATCTAATATTATAAATTCAGACATTCTATGCTCATAAGATATTTGTGCATCACGAATCTAACAAAATATTTTTGTATGCTTGACTACCATAATACCTTTTCTTCCACTATTATTATTATTATTATTTTATTGTTCATCTATTGGGTTCCCTGTCGAATATAAAGCTTCAAAAGTGCATCACTGCTTCATTGTGTTCCATGTGGTGTCTTTTTTTTAAAAATCCTTTCCACGTTTTCCTAAAAGCTTTCATTTCTTCCTCAAATGACATCATCCATGTCACCTTCGGACACGTACCCAACTCATCGCTCCTTGTTTTAGGTTTCGCTCTAGAGCCCACCTGGCGTTTGATTTCACTCAACGATCTTCTCAGCGTATGTTCAATCCATTTACGTTTTTTCCCTGCGTATATAGCGGGCAGTAAATTCTTGGTTAGATTCGGATTTTCAACACAAGTGTCAAGTCAGTCAGTTCTTCCATATGGATCAGAAAGTTGCACTGTGCGTCATAAAAAGGATTCCCAACACCTAATTACAGACTCTTATCAACAGCTGTCCACTTCGCTGACTCCATACTGAAGATCGAATGACCGACTGGTCAGAAACAATCAGCAGCGAGAAACTATGGGAACAAACATGTAAGAGAAAATGGAGATGGGTCGGGCACACATTGAGGAAATCGTCGAATGACATCGCGTGCTATGCAGATCCTTACTCGAGTGGAATCCGGATGGGTTGTCAATGCGAGGTTGGAGAGTGACATTGTAGAAATCGTGTGTTGTGGATGTGGAGATGAGAGATTATGGCCAGTCGTGAACTCATCTAAAGAGGACAGTGGAGAAAAGAACAAAGTAGAGATGTGTTATTGAACCCCTATGTTCCACTCGGAACCCAAAGGAATAATAATAATAAAGTCTTATAGGTTGGTTCGTTACCAGAGTTTATTGTTTCTTTTTCTTTCTGGTCGGCCATCTTTTTTTCAGTATTGAACAAAGGCAGTTGTCGTTGAAAGTCTACAACAGCCTGTCGCAAAATTCTTTTGATAACATGTGCAGTACGCCCCTAAAGAATGCCAGAAGTACTGACTGATTTGACTTTGGTGTTGATGAAATGTTTCACGAAGTTTTTGGTTTCAATTCAGAGCAGTTAAACATTGAGCATTTTGAATGTGTTAGAGTTTACGATACCCAGTTTTCCGTACAGTGAAGTGTTCGTTAATGTAGACTTTGAATAACAATGGTGACGATAATAAAATATGAATTATTACAGTTTACCTTTCTTTCTTAAAAGACTCTGTTACATATGTTCCCGCCAATGACATTGGCTAACAGTCGCGCTATATTTCACAAATTGGTCGAAGTTAAAATTCATATACTGGCCATTGGATTCCACGCCAGTGACTGAATGGTCAATGGAATCACTTCGTCTTGTGTTCAATCCCTAGCAGTGGGGTGTTTTTGGTGCGTACTACTGAAGAGTCCCGAGTTGGGACGAAACACCTGTACAGTACGCTGCCCTGGCTTTCAGCGGTTCTCCAACTGATATTAGACTTGAAACCAATGAAACCGCTTCAAACCAATGCAAAAATATACATATCGATTAAACTAAACGACATATTTTGCGTAGATGTTTTCTAGATTTCATAACCAATAACTTTTGTGTAAGTCTGTACGTGTGCACTCTTCTGATCACATGTTCTGCTTGATGATTATGAAAATAATAATAATAATAACAGATAACTTTGAATGTTTATTGTTTTATTTATTTTATTTCATTTTCTCTATACACCTAAGGAATCTTCAAATTCAGTTGAATTTCGAATAACAACCTATTGGAATGAACATCATGGGGAAAATTGTCTATGGACCAGCTGGGATTTACTTAATAATTCACAAGAACTTATAGTAAGTGGAGGTTTTTTTTATTAACTTCTCCCACCTTTTTATTTTGTTTTATCTCAGTGATGTGAGTGATAGTCTTTGTGCTTATATGTGCCCTCATGACATAATCTATCTTGGAATCAGTCAAATCACAATTGCTTAGTGCTTAAAATTAATCCACTGGTAATTTTGTTTGAAAACCAACCAGTTGACAAAAGAGGTGATAAAGATATTACATCAAGTGAACATAGCGAAGACAGAGGTGGTGAACATTACCCATCAATCACCGTGAACAGGAGAAATCTGTAGAGAGTCAACTCTTTCAGTGTCAACTACAAGTGGCGCATATATAAGGATGTCAATCTAAAATAAATGTGGAAATCTGATGCATTTAGCATAAGGATCTATATCTGGATCTTCATCATTGGTGTCAAGCCAGTGCTGCTATTCACTTCCGAGTACTGGCGCGCATGCATCACTAGAAGCATTTTCAAGAGGCTAGCGCAGAATTTCATCAACAGCTGTCTTCTCTTTTAATTGAATTTAAGATTTTCCCTTCGACTGATTGGACCGAAATGCTCGGTCTCAGGTTGACATGTTGGCTTCGTGTGCAGATGCTTCGACGATGTCTGGGCATTTAATTAACCGACATGTCAACCTCAAACCGAGCACTTCGGTCCAATCAATAGACGGGAAAATCTCAAATTCAATTAAACTAATATGACCCGTTGAACAAGAGGTGGTTCTCGTGGCCCAAGTGGTCTAGTGGATAATGTTTTGGCATTTGAAACTAAGGGCACTGGGTTCGAGCCCCGGTGGGAATATCACCACTCGGTGACTGGGGAATGCAGGTACATCCATTTAACGAGTCCCAAATAGGACTGAATGCGCACCCTGGATTCCACTGCTAGTCACCATCCACACATCAAGCCGTCTTCTCTCCCTACAGAAGATTCTAATTGTCAGCTGGCTAGAAGGCATAACCAGCAAGGAAGTCTGAAAGCAAACCAAATCAAAACCTGTTGCATGAGAAATATGCAGAAGGAAATGGAGATGGATTGAACATATACTGAGGAGACTGTTGAGTGGCATTACGTGCCAGGTAAACCGTTTAGTGGGATATGAATGGGAAAAAACCAGTTTGGCATGGGTCTGACAGTGACATGGAGGAGATCGTATGAGAAAGGAAATGAAAGTTTGTCGGTAGTTGTGTAGCCAGCCAAGAAAAGACTGCAGATGACAAGGTGAAATAGAGATGTACTGTTGAATCATTGTGTTCCATCTACACCTCAGTGGAATAATAATCATGGGGGTGAAGTTCGTGATATTCTAAAAGGAAGTCGTCACCGGTGGTTCCTCCATGTGGCTTGTGAGGACTAGTACTCAAGGATGGCGTTGGTGATAATTATTATCGAGCAAATTCTCAGGATGTAGAAGGTTCTAGACTTGATCCACGATTGGATCTCAGTTACAAATAGGTGGGAAATCATAAAATAGAACAAAATAGCTACGCATTTCTCCCTTTTTTTCGATATTTCATCGACTAATGTTGATTCCTGTCGATATCTACTTTGAGCATTCGTCCATTCGTCCCTTAACGTTTAACTGGTTGTAAGATTCACAGTAGTAGTGTATTGATAGGACTGATATTGTCATCGTTTTGTAAACCATTTATTTGTAAAGTAATGATTATTAAATTTTGTGAATAAACCTAAGTTTCTGAAATCATTGATCTCCATGTTGTTGTGGTCAAGTGATGGTTAAACTACTGCTAGTTCTGGTAATACTGTTTCCCTCTTTGTCTTAAATCGTAATTCTGTAACACTAGAAAGCAGTCGATCAAACTGTGGAAATTTTAAACTGGTCCTTACACCAGATGACTTTCGGTCCTCCATCTGTTACACTGAAAGGAAAATCTTTCATTATTAGACAGACAGTTGGTTATATCGATATTAGATGGTTAGAGGCAATCGACAGGAAGCTTTGGATATAGATTTCGCACTTCTTGGCGCTCATCAGCTAGGTATATTCGGGATCTTGATAGGAGTCATGTTGTGAGACTTTCAGCCCATTGCCTCCAACCATCTAATATCAATTCAGAGTTCAGTGGGACGGCGAGTCACCTAACTTGGTCGTCCACCTTGCAAACTTCACTGAAAGAATTCAGTCTGCACCAAATGAAGGATTTAACAGGTGATATTGGTTAATAATACTCGATTTGTTATCTGGACCTAGTCACCGAAAAACTGTTACTTACATAGATCTGTGCTGTCGTCTAGATTCCAGCATAGAGTCATTTCATTTAATAAGAACACAAAATGATACTTAAAGTATTATATACTAATGATAATTCGAGCATATTGTATTACTCATAGTCATCATTATCAAGGCACTCAAATAGCTTCTAAACTTCATTTATGTAATTCTATCGTTGCCTATCTTTCAACTTTACTGGTATTAATATTTTCCATATTTCTGGCATCGGTGTTGCACCATTCTTACTGACTGTTTTAGATGTAGACTGGATGAACAAAGACTCACTGATCAGCTTTTCTCTTCCTCCACTTACATATATTACTTCTTTAGATCTGTGAGTAGTTCTGTCACATTTTATTGTGTAATTGCCTGTTAGTGTTCGCATTGTGATCGTCTTTCTGTGCTTAATCATTCTACACTTAGCTAAATTCTCATATTCCAGTTATTAGAACTATATTTGTAAAAAGTACTATGCATAGATGGAGAGAGAGAGAGAGAGGCTGATCACTGAGTCTTTATTCATCGAATGTATACGCCTAACAAGTTCAATAGGAATAGGAGTCATACCGATGCGAGAGACATGGAGAATAATTACTACCAAGAAAATTATAGGATAAGAAGTAATGAAATTATTAATTAATTGTGGGTGCTTTGATATGATGACTATGCGCAATAAATTGTGGTCAAAACATCAGCGTGTCAGTTAATCAACTCAAACCAGAAGATGGCATCCGTGGATCTTGTTTCAACTTCAATCATCCATGTTTCTTTCCCTGAATTTCGTATTCCTTATTCATGTATGGTATTAATACTTTATTCCATTGTTATAAAGCATAAAAAAGCCCTTATTTCAATAATAATTTGTCTTTACTTCATTGTAGGATATATTCTGGTGTCTTGGTCCACAATGTGTTCATAGTGTATGCCAAAAATTGGCTACAGACTATAGAAGTTGGAGATCAGGTCTTCCTGATTTATTACTTTGGAGTCCTATGGAAAAACGAGCTAAAGTATGTACGACATTATTTTATTGTCTCTATCTTTTGTCCGTAACTATTTCTATGTTATACAGGCCAATCTACCGTAGTTACTGTTATATATTCAGTTGTAGAACTGCTCTGCTTTATTATAATGCTGTTTTTGTGTAATCCAATGAATTACTAGGTGTGTTATTTGCCTCATATTGAAGTTGAAAACACAAGTGACCCTCCGCATATCAGATTTCCAGTTCAACAGACAGTTACTAGTGTCCAATCAAAGCATCTACTACAGTCCCAGAGGAGGTGAATCGCGAGCCCGAATAGCTCAGTCGGTAGCGTCTCTGACTGCAGCGTTGGATGACGTGGGTTCGAATCTCAGAAGAAGTGATATGAGTTCTTTCAAGGTTGCAGATACGCCTTGCTGACGAATGCCCAACGAGTGCACGAAACCTACTTCAAGCAAAGTATCCTGTCGATTGCCTCCAACTTTTTTGATATCATCAAATCAATGTGCACCGTGATGGAGAGCTACCTAGTGGAATGGTGGCCACATTGCAAACCTGACTGACTGATAGAATTCAGTCTTCACCAAAGAAAAGACTAGACATATTACACTAGTTACTAGTTTCCAATCAAAAAGTTACTATCTTCGCTGAGATTATTCTGAAGCCGTACAGTCACTGTTATAGTCATAAAAAGAGGGATTCTAGAAATGTGTCATTAAAATTTTCATTTTTTAGACAGCAATTACGCAATACAAAAAAACATTAATCTGTTAGAAACTGAAATATAATTAACTAAATTGCTTGGCGTATTACAATTGATAAGATTGAGAAGAACTAAACTAGAACTGAAAAAATAGTCGACTTAAGGTCAGTGTCATGGGAAACAGAAATGTAATATTGGAATGAAAGAAAAATAATAAAATCAGAGTATCATGATTAACAAAAATTATGCATTGAGTGTTTAGACAAATTAATTCCATTGTAGATTAAGTAACTGAACAAACTGATTCTGTACGCAGACTTCAAGATTTAATATGTAGACTGCTATAGCATCTGTGGTTTAAAGAATTTCGATTCGTACCACCTTGGTAAGATTTTCGCGTACTTTGTGGATGACTCTGGTGTTGATTTGACAGTTTGATCATTTTTCAGAGTCGATCAGGTGTTTCAGAATAACGTTAAATGTTCGATAATACGTATGGATAGCAAACCTTATTATTGTTATTGTTCCGTTGAGTTCCTAGTGGAACATATGGCTTCAACTGCACGTCTCCACTTGCTTCTGTCTTCCTTCTGCTGTGCTTTTCATCTGCAGCCAAGTCAGTCCATACTGTTTGAACTCCTCTTCACACGATCTCCCCCATGTCACCATTGAACGTCACACTCACCGCTTCCCTTTCGGGTTCCACTCGAGGATCAGACGCGCGCGCGATGTCACCCACCGGCCTCCTCAGCAAGTGTCCGATCCATCTCCAATTTCTCCTGCATATTTGTTGGTTGGCGATTGGTTCTTGTTTCGTTTCTTCCCATAGTTTCTTGTTGGTGATTCTTTCTGGCTTGGTCATTTGATCTTCAGTATAGAGCCGGTGAAGACATTTGTTGATTAAGGTCTGCAACAGGCTGTTGAAAGTTTTTTTTGTGACCCGCCCGCCAAGTTTCTGATCTGTATAGAAGAACTGACTGACTTGACGTTTGTATTGAAAATCCGACTGAATTTTGTTGTTGATGCTGGCTGAGTGACGAAGTTTTCCAGATTGGTTTCAGTTGGTTGATGAATGTGTTTCTCGCCTTCCCGATTCTGGCTCGATTTGACATCCTCGTCCGTTCCAACTGCCTGTATGTAGTTGAGACAATGCTCCCTAGATAAGTGAATGAAGTAACCTCTTTCGAATATCTCCCGTTGATAGTGATTGGCGTTGGATGTCGCTGCTATCGTTGTTGTTGGTTGTTGATAGCAAACGTTGAGTACGGCTAACATACCTGGCTCCAAAGGATCAGCGAACTTGATACGTACACATTGATGAGGCCAGTAGTAGTAGTTTATCCTTCACTTTCACACGAATCATCGGTTTTGTAGAGAATGTAAGTTGCAGCTCGGCCGTGAAGAAAGTATTTTCAGTGAACAGGATAAGCGGTTTCCTGGTATTACTGTCGATGAGTTTCCATTGTTTCGCAGATTCAGATAAAGAAGTCTTTGACGAGAGAAAATGTACTACATACACGTGATTGTAGAGCTTGAGAGAGATATCGTTGGAGAGTGTAACTATTCACTGAACTCCACTTTGCTTATGTAGAAATCTGTGTGATTTAAATTAGTTACCAATGCCAAATGCGGAGACGTTTTGACTATGGCAGTGTCATTTAGGAGCTGTCTAAAGGACGATGAGATTTTGTTGCTTTATTCAATTCTAGTGATTAAAAACAGATTTTTAAGACAACTCAGGTGTGTTGAAGGAAGAACATTGTATATTTTGAAAAGTGGTATTGTATAAAAATGCGTGAAAAACACATTTCTGGTTATCACTCATAAAGGAGTGTAGCAGTTAAAAGTATTGCCCACTTCACCGTTATTTAAGAAGTTGTACTCGTTCTAATGGACCTAGTGTTTATGAAATATCAACATACAGATAAAAGGCTCGTGTGACTTTCGTTAAATCATGTCATCTTTGGCGCAGAATTGATATCCGGTTATCAGTCAAAGGACATAACTTCAAATTGAAGTATGCGCTGAAGATGTCACCCAGTAGGGTGATGAAAGCTTCGCAAATTAACCATCCAGCTCAGAGAACAAAACCACATCAAAAAGGACATGTGTGTATAGCTCTCTATCCTTCGCTATGCCCGTGAGATGTGACTATTGTAAGAAGAAGATACCAAAGGGAAAGTTGTCTTCGATCATGGTTGTTGGCTTTATATCTGCCGTGCCAATTGCTATAGTATAGTGAGTAATATTGTGGTTAAGTGTATAGTGTTAAGTAAGTAAGTAAGGAAGGAGAGTCATTGGATGACGTTGTGAGGCTGTATCGATTGAAATGTTTAGAACGCGTTTTACTCATGCTAAGCCATTGTCTTCCTCATCGAGCAATGTTAGCTAAATAGGATTAAATTAAAATAAAAGTCAAATCAAACTATGGCGTAATTCTATGAAATCTTTGACTATTAATTTGAGCCACCTAGTGAGGTGTCTGGTTGGTGGTGTCCTCTAGACGCTGATGCATTCACTCTTTGAAATCTCTCAGAAGCTTGATTCATCAAGTTCCCATTATTGTCTATGCTATTATTTCCAAACGCATCTCTAAACATTATCCGGCGTGGTTAGCGAAAGGATAATGCAAGGTAGTTACTAGCTCAATTCTTCTCGAGCCCTTGGTGAACTCAAGCTACGCAGTTCCACCAGAGTCGTCTTTTAAGATTATATGCAAGGTAAGACTAAGTGGTGCAAATGATGTTAGGTTTCGGCATTTGTCTATAGTGGAGGCGTTGGCAATTCTTCAATACAACCCCAAACTCTGTATGCAGAAAAAGTTTATCCAGTCTCTTAATCTACAATGGTCTTAACCTTCCTCTTCACGCTTGTTAAATGAACACTCAACTACCTTTTCTTCTCACTCAATGCCTATTTTAACCTTATCAAATTCCTAACGCTTTCTTTCTTTCTTTGTGCCGTTGTTGAGTATCACGTAACTTGTAACTTTTATTTTTAGTTAGAAGCCACTTCAGAAAGTAATTACATCAATTATGTCACCCATCCCCCTACCTAATATTACTCAATAATGGACTACTATTATACATTTTCCGTAAATATAAATACAACTGTACAGACTTTGAAGATGATTTCATCGACAAAGAAAATTTTCTTCGCTGAATTGTCTTTTATTTACTTCATGACTCAATGGGTATTTTCGGTTGTTATTATTATAATTTTCTCTTTTATATAATGGTTCTTTTAAATTGTTTTTCTGGCTTTTGTCTACCTTTGCACAATTCTAATCCTGGCTGTACATTATAAAAACTCAACTCATTCGCAAAGGGGAATGAGTACTCTGATAAGGATGACATTTTTGTTATAAATACCTGCATTAAAGTTGAATATTGATCAAATTAGAGTCCTCAAAGTGTCAACTGTATCAACAGGAGGACAGTATGCAGGACATACTGTTTAAATTATGTTACAGATGAGAATGGATAACAATGAATAGTTCTAATAGGAGTCGTTAGTATTTCCATTTATCCTTCGTAATAATAATAATAACTGAACACCTTGTCAATACCTGTCACAGCATCTCCAACTTACTCATCATTTAGAGTCATTTACAATGTAAACAAAAGTCTGCCAAAGACGCAGTGTGTTTCTGACTTCTTTGTACTGCGGAAGCTATCGCCATATGCATCGAGAAGCCAGAGCTATGTGTTCCAAAAAAACTAATCAAGCCTTTACAACTACCATGGACCTAGTTCGGTATGTTCCCTTATCCTTCAGTTTTTTTTGTTTTGTTCTCTGTGTGTGTAATTTTCTCTCCTTGTCTTCCCTCAATTCATATGATTTTTTTCAATCATAAAATCAGTTATTTTAAGTTTGTTTCCATGCTCCTACTGAACACACTTGTAATCTGTTTAGAATAACCATTTTACAATTATATTCTAATCCTATGCAATCTTGTCTCTAAGCCCCTTGTGATCTATATTCGTACCTTCAGACTTTCATATCAAGTTGAAAATTATTATCTCCTTCGTTATTATGTGGAATTAAATAAATAATACTTGTATCCATGTAAACTAAGGTGTATAAATGCGATTGTACAGCTGCTTTTGAGAATAAAATCGCCGAAAAGATCGCCATCTTTGTTTTTGAACTTCTTGTTCTTTTCCCTCTAATAATAGTTTTTTTTTATTCATTCATTATTTTCATAGATTGTCGAAGTTAAAGGTCCTGGTGATCATTTATCTAATCAACAAATTATGTGGCTTGATGTATTTGTTAGAGCTAAGGCTGATGTTGAAATATGCTTAGTATCAGGTGAGTAATTGTATGTCACACCATTTTCTTTAAAAATAGAATTACTGTGAAGAAAAGATTGTACCTTTAAGCAAATGAATATATAGATGAAACTATGTCTTCAAGAGATAGTTTTTAAGGGATTTGATTTACTTCAAGTTTCGCCACAGATTCATATCAGTTGGGGAATGATTGAACACCAGCAGGGATTACTGAACAGCTGTTTATCCCTAGTTGGGGACTCAGAACCCAGGACCTTCCGGTTACAAGACAAGGTTGTAGACCTTTCAGCCACTGAGAGCAAGCCTCCTTAATAACCGTGAATTCTAACTTCTACTGTAGCAACACAGAACAAGGGCCAGGTAACAGACCGTTTATTAAGGAAATCAACACATATTTATAGATTTTCATGTACATATTATAGATTATTTTTAGCAGAAAAACACAGTCTTCTGATTGGTTGTTTCTCACAGAAAGTTAACATTCCATCTCTTTGTGACTGTTTCTTGAATGTCAGACCATCTATATGTTAACTGTATCCGCCTACGCAAAGCCTTTGTTCTCACTTATCTCACAACCAATATTTGGGACATAAACACTGACGTAAATTACTGTCCATCAATTTTGACTAACAGCCAGCTCCCACCGCACTACTAGTTCGTGACTGTTTTCGATGTCCAGTGGATATATACTGCCTACCAGTCCCCAAAGTAGAATGAAACAGCTGTCCAGTGCTCTCTGGTGGTTTCCAATCCTTCTCTAACTGATATCAATTCGTGCTCAAACTTGAGATTGTATTTGCTTTCACTTCATTGATAGTAGCTAGCAGTAGAGGTCGAGGGGCCAATTTCTGTGTGCTATGAGAGACTCACCAGCTGGATATGTCTGCATCTTCAGTGGGCGTTGGCCTTCCCACTGACATTCAAAACCAGTGTGTAACAACAGAAGACAAGGGCCGGCAACAGTTTGTTTTATTACAAAAATCAAAACGTATTTATATATATCTACTTCACATTATAATAGCTTATTCAAGTAGACAAATGCAGTCTTCTGATTGGTTGTTTTCGAGATTTCTCGGAAAGTGAAGCCATCTATCTGCGAATCATATTTGTTCACGTTTAAGTCTGCTGTGATTGGTTGTTGAATCAGCCTTGTTCATGTTTTCTCACGGCCAATATTAGTGACCTAGACATTGACGTAGATTAATGTCTACCGATTGGCTAGCAGCCTGCTCTAACCACAGGTGCAGCTACCATTTGAATTACCAAAGCGTTCGTTCTCTACTGAATCACAAGAGATAATTATTGTGCAACGGGTATCTGTAGTTGTTTTGTATTTTCCAATGATTTATACTGAACCGAAATGGTCAGTCTATGCTGACGTGTTGACTCCTGTGTTTTTTGGCTAACATGATGTCACCCAATTGATGGTGACTAGCAGTGGAATGCTGGAGACCCATCTTTTTAACTGGATATAACCATTCACATCTCCCAGTGATTGATGGTATACCACTGGGACTCGAACCCTGAATTTATTTTCTTAAAATTATATATTACCTAAAATGTCATACCATTTAATGGAATAGTTGGAAGATCTGAGGATATCATCATGAACTGACATCGGTTAGAGGACTATTGGAAAATCTGCGAGTACTGGACAGCTGTTCCGTCAGCCTAGTTTGGGACTCTTCATCAGTACCAGGACTTTCTGGTTACAAGACTAGCGAACTCGTAGACCATTAAGCCACTGGGAGCCGATCGAATGCTCCATGAATTCCAGCTTCTGCCAATTCACAATATGGTACGACCACTAGTGGATGTCATCTGCGAGTATTTGTCCTCACACCCGACCTGTTGTACCTTGGGTCCTAGTGGGAAGTCGTGATCAGTGGGGTACAGCAGGTTGGGTTTGAGGACAGGTACTCGCCGATGACATTCTGTATAAGTCCCACCTGATCATTAATTGGCAGAAGGTGGAAATTATGGACCATTCGATCAGGTCCCACTGGCTGAATGGTATACGAGCTAGCTCGTATTGTAACCGGAAGGCACTGGGTTCGAACCCTGGCAGTAGGTGCCCGTGCTGCCGATGATTCCCAAACTAGGCTGACGAAACAGCTGGCTATCCAGTACTCCCATCTGGTTTTCAATGGTTCTCTAACTGAGATATCAAGCCGTGATCGAACTCGGGAATTCAACCATATCAAAATCATATGCATTAGCTAAAAAAATCTTCATTATCTTATGGTATTTCATTTGTTTTATTGATTACCATTTGTTGTGTCAAACAGATCATATATTTTGATCTGAATATTTGTATTGTGTTTTCTTTAGTTTTCAGAGGTCACTGTGATGCGTATTTCCACTTTGAATTGTGTATATTTTATATATGACCTGTTTTATTTAAATGACTTTAGGATTGAAATTTCTGTTATAGACTGTTGTCAGAAGATTATACTACACGTTTTCATTTGTTTATTGGATATATCATACATATACAGTGGAATAGTATTATTTACTAGATTACGATGCTTGGAACACATTTTCATTTGTTGTTCATAATCATATCATCAGCTGTAATTATACACACAGCTTCGAAACTTGATTCATGTAGTCATGAGGGTAGTAGAATTTTCTAAATACCATGGATATGTGTTCAGTCATGCTTACTGCACGTGTTCTCAGTTGTTTAAGTAATCAAAGCCCCAGTTATCAATCCCTTCTATCACCCTGTTATATTATATTTTAAGACTGTTATTTTATTCCATCTTATATTGTATGGTTGTGTATAATCGCATTTAGTGTTATAACTGAGTTATTTTGTAGATATCTTATCTTATAAGTGTTAACTAATCGAGATTTCTCCAGGTTATTGTGTTTCTAAAGGAGGTCATGAGAATGAATGCAACTTTTATTCTTACCTTTTTTAAGAATTCTACGTAAGGTTTCGAAGGTTCCCTGTTCGTATGAAAGTACTACGAATGTTTTGAATTTCTTATTGCTGTTGTCACCTATTTATGTATGTTTGTCATGCATGTCTCCCTTATTGTTATTATTATTAATTTTATTTTCACAACTCCCGATATACTTCTTGCCCTCTATCTCCCGTGTGAAGTGGTATAATAAGGTGAGCAATATTCAGGTTAGGCTTCAGTTGAGTGCTAGGCAAGAAGGGGAAATCAATGGACGAGGCTGTGAAATTACATCGACTGAGATGGTTAGAACATATCTTACGCATGCCTAGTCAACACCTTCCTCGACGAGCAATGTTAGCTGACATAAGGTCGGGCTGGAAAAGAGCTAGCGGTGGTCAAACCAAAACATGGCACTAGTCAATGAATTCCACAACAGTTGGTTTAAGTCACGTAGGAAGTTGTAGACTTCCTGGTTGAGGTCCTCGGGACGGTAAAAACCAATGAAGGCTGGAAACAATTGGTGATATGGCTCAAAATTGTTTTCAATGGCTGGCGCAGATGCATCCACTCCTTGTGACTTAGGATTTCCAATGAAACTATGTTGTTCTTCGTTATTACTATTCCTTTGCCTCACACCTCTGTTTACTGTCTCTATTATGCATTTCTTCTGCCTTCTTCCCTTGCTTTGTGTGGTACATGGAGGGAGTGTGGCGACAAGAGCTGCCACACATCGGTTCAAAGTTCTATGTCGAAAATAGACAGACAGACATACTTCCTGACTAAGTTATTGGAGTAATTACTAAGTGTCAAAGCTTCTCTTATATGCCTTATACCGGCCTTAGATTTTTAGTCTTATTAGGTAGACAATTCACTAGTCCCATTTTTACTGGCATATGGTGAGATGAACTGAAATTCAAATATCGGTTTGAATCAAATGAGAATACATGCACCATAGGAATGATTTAATACCTGTTAATCTGGACATCTCGATAACTTTACTACCCTTACGACTAATGGAAAGGTAGAATAAGAACTATAAAAATCAAATTTCGAATCTATGTCTTTGGTTACAATTGGTGATATAATTATGAACAATAAATTATTATCAAGTATTGGTTTTGTAGGGATTCTGTTTGATTGTGTGGAAGATTTAATCATGAGCTGACATCAGTCAGAGAACCACTGGAAAACCTGAGAGTACTGGACAGCTGTTTCGTCCTAGTTTGGGACTCCTCAGCAGTACGCACCCACCGGGGGGTTCGAACCCAGGACCTTCTGGTTACAAGGCGAGATGGAATGACCAGTGTTGACGAGATGTTCGATTATTGCACTCCTTATATGGCCATTATTTCTTTGCTGTAGCCACACTGGATAGTGTTCTTTGACCCTTTTTGACAGGATGCACGTTGAACGACCGATGTACCTGGCTCCACAGCAACAGGTGAACTGATAAATTGATCAATAAATTATTTACGAAACGCTACCAAGTAAATAATTTTTTTCTCACTGTATGATGTATCCAATCAACGAATTTGTATGGAATTTCTATAAAACAATAAAAAGTTCCAATTTACCTGAAAAGTGTAATGTATCTGCGTAACACATTTAGGATATTGTAATTACACACATCAAAGTCATTTGGGACAAACTGTGACAGATGCTGGAGGAATTCTTAACCAGATGAATACAGTACAAAATAGCATATCGTTAAAATACGTGGAAGAAAGTAACAATTGCATGTCATTTCTATGCGTATTCATAACTTGGTAGCAAGATAGGCCAATACGATGATCTCTCACCAGGAAGCCCATCTAAACTGGACAGTATCTAAACTATGATGGTTTCTGTCGAAGACAGTTAACCAAGTTCTTGTTCAGAAGCATTCAACATAGATTTAGAGTGAACACTGTTGAAAAGGGATTACAATTACCTCAATAAAATATTGTTAGATGACAATTCATTAAACCCTACAGAATTGCCAAACAAATGGCTCCAGCGATGCAATCACCTCCCAAATTGGATGTTTATATGTCTTTACTCCCTCCAAGAGTGATCACTAAACAAAGACTTACATTGACACTTATTATAAATTACTATGCATCTTAACTCATTTTCATAATAGAGCGAACGAGATTTATCTTGTCCTGTAAACCTCGACAGCATCCGAATGATAGTGCCACATCCCGTTGTGTTTACTTATTTTGCATGTATGTATGGTCACATATACATAGGTAGGATCCATCAATCTTTGAAGGTCAACGCTACAAAAACGCATTCCAAAGTGGCTACAAGTACAATTAAGCTCAGAAATAGATGTCCAACGTCATATATCACAAAGTACATCATAGAGACAAGTCATAATTGTTATGTACTGGTCGAGAATTTAATAGTCCTGACGCAAGAAAGACGGAAATCAGTAAACCACTAGGTTTGCGATGATACTTCTATTTTCCAAACACAAGGAGAATCAATGTCACACAAGTGTGTGAGAGCAAAAATAGGAATGTCCGAACAAGTGTGTGAACGAATATTCAAAATGAACAAATCAATAGACAGTCTTAACATGATTGGCTAGTTATAATGGAATATCGATCCATGTATACATAGTAAAATATAACCGATTGTCAAACAAACACACATATTATATGGATACATATCAATAATGTTGAACCTACCTACCTTGGTAATCCAATTTTAGAACCAAGGTTCAACTTAATTAATATTTTCATTTTCCCGTTTTTTCTTACTCCCTATTCTCACATCATAATGTTATTTATGAACTCTACTTGCAAACAATTTGACCTATATTGTCATCCTTTATGTTCTGTTGACGTTTATTACAAATATGTATGACAAGTGTGTGTGTGTGTTGATGAGAATATCCAAAATATGTTGCGTAAATAGACATTACACGGATGAGATGTCTGGATGTCTGAATTTTACACACATATATTAAGAAGAGGCCAAGTTAAACTATCATAGCCAAAACCACAGTGACCTTGAAGAGCGAATCAGATTTCAGATGCAAAAAGTAGTCACATAATCGTTGAGAAATACACTAAAGTACACATTGCAAACATGATATATATTACACTGGATAATTGCCACTTATGTGTGTTTTAAGAATGTCTCCCAATCACTAAACACGGGCAAAATACTGAGAAATCATAACATGGCCGATAGATGTATTAATTCAGATGGCTGTAGATCATGGTGTAACAACAGAAGACAAGGGCCAGGCAACAGATTGTTTATTAAGGAAATCAACACGTATTTATATATTTTCATATACATTATTATAGCTTATTCAAGCAAACAAACACAGCCTTCTGATTGGTTGTTTCTCGCAGAAAGTTGACCTTGCATCTCTTTGTGACTGTTTCTTGAATGTCAGACCATCTATATGTTAACTGTATCTGCCTGCGCAAAGTCTGATGTGGTTGGTTGTTGAGTCACTCTTGTTCATATTTTCTCACGACCAGTATTGGGGATATAAACATTGACATAAATTAATGTCTACCAATTGGCTAGCAGGCTCCTCTCACCGCAATGGTACTTTAAGATCCATTGACATTCCTGACACTGTTCTTCAACCTACTCCTAACTTTGGCCGTAATCCTAACTTTAACCCTTGATCTTAAAAGCCATAATCCTACCTAACAGTATAGATTTACAGAAAACGTACCTGCTGAATAAGTAGAATACTGTGTCTGTCCTCAAGTCCAAAAAGGAAGGCATGGTTCGATTTAGAATGACCTTTCATAATATTCCCTGTATCTGATTGGCTCTTGAAAGACCTTGACTTTGGCTATGATACTGTAATTTCGTCTAAGGAAATTCCCGGCCGATAACTGCTACCTTGTCGTGGTGGTTGGGCTTGAATACCGTAATGACCCAACATGCTAAACTGACTGGGACTCTGTCCCTGCAGGTCCTACCATGTCAGGAAGGTTGTTTGAATAGCGGTTAAACTAAAAGCAGTAACCATGGGTTACATGGGCTCCAGTATCCAACAGGATCAAATGGCATATGAACCCATATGGGTCACCGTCAACCATGGGAATGCAGTTCCTGACGCTGCTCCGCTGCCTTGCGGATTAGATTCCAAGTCAAAGGCTCGGGGAGTGGTCCCTTAATAAAACCACCTGCTTCGGTCTGGGCGCCTGGGCAGTATCTCAGCCCTCACACAATTAATTGAATAAAGCAACAAACTATCAATGAAACTTATCGCGCGCTATTACACCTGTTTCAATTTCCTTCTTTCTTCCCTTCCCGATGATAGTTAACGAATACTGTTTGAACTTGTTAAGCATGACTGTTTTCCTTCCAGATGAAGTTCTTTATCTGTTCTCTACTTATATTTTTTTTCTTTTGATCTATGTTGTTTTATTATTATTGTGTGGTGCATCCTCCTTGGTGCCATATTGTATCAAGTTTTTATGCGTTTGAATGAATAAATAAATCTAAGGAAATTATACCGCTTCAATTTATGTTTACCGTCAGCTGTGTGTACTATTATTATTATTACTATAATTATCAACAAACCATACTTATATCGATCTCTTTTTCATTCACATAATTTTCAGCAAAGGGAATCAAATCACTCAATTCCAATTTCAAAACAATCTCAAATGTGGTCGATGAAAGAAGTTAATTACTTTTGAAAATGAGGAGAATTTCACCTTTTTTCTTCACATATTTCCTTTTTTTAATACCTTTGAGCATTGCATTTTTCTTCCTGTTTTTAAAATACCATTGTCCCCCAACCCTTTTTGTCTTCATACCGGTGGTATTTTTTTTGTACAAGGTTGAAGTTGTTGTTAGCCTCCCTCCTATTTTCTAAGTGTTTGCGGGCGGGGCTAGCGGAGGTGTAGGAGTACGTTGTTCGGGAATTAAATTCAGATCACATGCACATGGTTGGCTAATATTTCTATTAGTGAAGTACCCATGAATACATTTCTGCCTTATTCTATCAGAATACACTCGCTCTCTTTATATTTATATATGTATATGCCTCTGAAGAAACCTTATTGACTTTGTAAAATATACATACATATGCTTTCGTTTAACGTTTGTTTTATAGTGTTCATCGTTTGATTGAGTGGCGTAAAGGTAGACAAGGAAAGGTTTAGTTTAAATTCCATCTGACAGAATACAATCTTAGTTGTTTTCCTTCTATTTACTTTCTTTGTTATTCTGGTGAAATTAGCCTAATGAAATTAAAAAAAGTGAGACTAGAAATATTGAACAGGGTAATATGAGATATTAGGTCAGTTACTTGTTAACATCATGACAGCTTGAAATAGTTACTCAAGTATTGGTTTGTAGGGATTTGATTGACTGGTCACAAGATTTCATCATGTGCTGAAGTAAGTCGGAGGACCATTGGAAAACCTACATGGAGTACTGCCAGACAGCTGTCTCGTCGGACTAGTTTGGAACTCTTCATCAGTACGCACCTACCACGGGAGGTTAGAACCCCGGACCTTCTGGCTACAAGACTAGCAAGCTCATAGACGATTAAGCCACTGGTACCCGAGCTGGTCCTCACATCCGACCTCTTGTACCGTGGGTTCTACGGAGAAGTCTAGACCAATGGGGTGCAGCCGATTGGATGTCAGGAAAAATACTCCCTCTCGATATCTCTGTCTAGTGATCACGCTATATCATGAATTGATAGAAGTTAGAATTCATGACCTGGTCGCTGGATCGGGTCTTGGTGGCTTAATGGTCTACGAGCTCGCTAGTCATGTAACCATAAGGTCCTGAGTTCGAACCCTGGCGGTAGGTACTTACTTACTTTACTTCGGCTATCTCCTACGGGAGGATGAACCGGCTTCATGAACATCTCGAATGTTTGTAAGAGAGTTGATGAAGTTTCATGGGAATTGGGTACGAGTGATGTCCCCAGCATCGCTCGGCCTTTTGTTTGAGAGTACACCTCTAGCCTTTACACAGCCAAGTGTGACCTACAAGGCAGTAGGAGTGGAGTAGGGAGTCCACTATCCTTTGACAGCCGGAGTCCGGTTCATACGCCTTTTTGAATGGGGCCAGACATCCAGGGCATCCAATAAGCCCTGCTATTGTCCCTTTGTCCCTATGTCTGCCGGTGAGCTTCATACGCCAGTCGTTGGACGTTTGGAATCAGGGTTTAGCCATCTGCCCTAGACTGTCATCCAATGGACAGTCAACCCGGTGAAGAGCGCCGGGCATCCGCTTTTGCCCTCTCACTTCGGTGAAAAACACCTCCGCCACGTGAAGGCAGTGAGTAGGACTTCCTCAGGAGAGGCTATGTAAGACGCACGGTCATATGGGAGTATTTCAAGAGGGGTGGCTAACCCGCAGCGCAAGACACCCACCCCCGACCATCCTGAGGCTTTGGAGGCGGTTAATGTGTACCTCTGAAGAGTCCCGAACCAGGCTGACGAGAAACCTGTCTGGCAGTACTTCCTGTAGGTTTTCAAATGGTTCTCTAACCGATGTCAGTCAGCTCATGATGAAATCCTGTAACCTGTACTGTCAAAAGTTGTGTTAATATTATTATCCTTCTTACTCTTAAACTCCTCAATGTTTTGTCAACTTCTAATGGTCTTTCCAATCTTCATAAATATGCAAATGTTTGCATAAACGTAAAAGAGTGAGAAAACTATTTGAGTGGTGAATGGCAGTATAGACAAGCTTTAGCCAGACAAATGTCTACACTGTGTATTTTATGGCGAAATACTTGGTTTATCATCTATAAAAATATAGTTGATCAAAAAATTACAGACAATAATGCAAAGTAGCCAAAAATCACAAGTGTATTCTCTTTATCATTCCTATTATTGATTTATATCATTGTTATGTGTATTTCAACATTCTACTTTATGTCATTTAGTGTATTAAACCAAAACCACACACTCAGTGATTGGTTAGAAAAATATAAACTGTATACATATAAATGGAGGGTTGATCGGTTGAAAATATACCTTGGCTTCCGTGTCTTGCCTTCTGCTGTTATATCATGACTTTGTCTACTGTTGGTAAGTTTCAAAAATTGATTGGTTACAGGATTTCATCATGAGCTGACATTGGTTAGAGAACCTTGGAAAACCTAGGAGTACTGGACAACCGTTTCGTCCCAGTTAGGGACTCTTTATCAGTACGCGCCCACCGGGGTTCAAATCAAGGACCCTATGGTTACATGACTAGCGAGCTCGTACACCATTAAGCCACTGGGACTCGATCCAATGACCATCCCTTGAATTCTAACTTCTGCCAATTCACGACATAGCGCAACTTCTAGCCAATGTCTTCGGCGACTATTTGTCTTCACACCCGACCTGCTGCACCCTACTGGTCACTACTTCCCAATAGAGCCCCAGGTAACTACTCCCTGAATAGGACCAGTCGGCAGTGAGCATCTTATTGATATCCAACAATTGAGTTGTCATACTTGCATGCTAATAATTTGTCAGCTGTAACTAGTCAAGTTAACAGGGTCTACTTTTGGGAATCCAGTATTTAAAACCACATGATAATTGGGCTATAGAATAAGCAAGAGACAAGCTACATAAAAGTTGATTATTTTTAATGAAAAAGTGGTGCCTCGGTGGTTCAGTGGTCGAACTCTTGCCAAGCACACACGTGGTCTGGGGTTCGATTCCCTGCCGATGCATTTCTAAGCCTCGGTAAGCCGGTAAAGGGGAATGTTGGACCAATAGTCATGAAACTTGAAAGCTCTAGTTTGAAGCCCTGTGTCTGCCTCGGAATCTAAAGGATTTAAATAAAATAATAAAAGAAATTTGAAGTACTAAGTAACCTGCTTAATTATGTACGGGTGCAGTGAACTTACATTTACGCAAGCATTTAACACAAATTTCATCACCACGAAATGTACGAATATAAATACTTATATTACGAACTTTTGCTTCTCAGCAATTTCCTCAACGGGTAATTTAAATAGCACAAATTTTCTTTCACTCTAGTCTATTATACATGAGGGATGTGTCACACAAACTCAAAGATTTAATCAAGTGAAAAGCGAACAAATTGGCAGAAGCATCAGGCGGTAAATAAAGAACTCCAAATGAGAAACAAAGGTAGTTGACAGCAAGTTTAATTCATCACCATCATCGGGATGGGTGTATAGGAAGTCAACTCTTTCATTTACACCTCACCTTGGAAGCATTGTTTCAACGACAGGCAGCCGCCGCATATGATGAGGATGTCATGCCTAGACGTTCATTATTCTGAATTCTGCTACACTCAGCATTATGAACGAGATTCGGATTTTCAATACTAATGTCAAATGTCGCTGCTTCTGTATGTTTCAGAGAACGAAGAGCATTTCCAACAGGTTGTAGGCTTCCATCCACAAACAGCCTTCGTTAGATACTGAAGATTAGATGGCCTACCAGAAAGGATGAGCAAGAAAGCGACTTTATTAGGCAAGAACACAAGAACCTATTACCTAGAAGAAAATGGATATTAAAGATACACTGAAACCAATGAGTGACAGAATGCACCATGCCCCCGAGTGGAATCCCAATGGGAAACGAGTCGAGCGCCTGAGGACAAAATGGAGGAGATCCTGTGAAGAAGAGATGATAGATTATGGGCGATCACCAGGCCAGGTAATAAAGACTGTACAGAATAGGTTGGTATGGCGATGTGCTGCTGGAGCCATATCCAAGGGAATAATTATATCGGAAAATGTACCATAAAGGTAAACCGATAGAAACACCATTCCGATTTCTATCAATAATTTGTGATTCAACACAGATGAAGTCGAAAGTGTTCTGAGAGGCCCTGTTAACATAATGACCCATCCGACACTTAACATTTTCTACAGAAAACTGCAGTCCCCATGTTTAATAAAATAAAAGCCTGACATAATTGGTTCACAGCTCGCTTGCACTACTACATAGGTACTAATTTATTTATTATTATTATTATTGCTCCCTTGGGTTCCTAGTGGAACATAGGGCTTCAACTGCACGTCTCCATTTTCTTCTGTCTTCTGCTATACTTTTCGCCTGCATCCATGTTAGTCCATATTCTTTCAACTCCTCTTCACACGATCTCCTCCATGTCACCCTTGGACGTCCCACACGCCGCTTCCCTTTCGGGTTCCACTCGAGGGCTTGGCGCGCGATGTCACCCAGCGGTCTCCTCAGCGAGTGTCCGATCCATCTCCACTTTCTCCTGCATATTTGTTGGGCGATTGGTTCTTGCTTTGTTTGTTCCCATAATTCCTTGTTGGTGATTCTTTCCGGCCATCTGATCTTCAGTATGGAGCACGAAGACAGTTGTTAATAAAGGTCTGCAACCTTTTGGAAATATTCTTTGTGACCCGCCCGCCAGTTTCTGATCCGTATAGAAGAACTGACTTTACGTTTGTATTGAAAATCCGAATTTTGTTGGTGATGCTGAGTGACGAAGATTTCCAGATTGATTTCAGGTTGATGAATGTGTTTCTCGCCTTCCCGATTCTTGCTCGATTTGACATCCTCGTCCGTTCCAACTGCTAGTTGAGACAATGCTCCCTAGATAAGTGAATGAAGTAACCTCTTTCAAATCCCTCCCGTTGATGGTGATTGACGTTGGATGTTGCTGCTTGTTGTTGTTGATTGGTTATTTTCATAACCTCCGTCTTGTCTATGTTCACTTGGAGTCCTGTCTTCGCCGGCTGCTTCTTCGACCAGTTTGTCGGTTTTCGCTTGTAAGTCTTCGATTGTGTGTGACATCAAACATAAATCATCCACGCGCGAAATCCAGGTCTTCTAGGTTCTTCACGTCGGTCCAGGATATTCCTGTCTTCTCGTTTCCCACAGTCTGACGCATAATCCAGTCCACCACAATTAGGAATATCATTGGTGATAGTAAGCACCCTTGTCTGACTCCTGTGTTTACTCCAAACGCCTCGCTGAGTCTTCCGTTGTGGATCACTTGGCAGGTGCCGTTGTCGTACAGCTGTTGAATAAGGTTGATGAATATTTGGGGTACGCCATAGTACTCGAGTAATTTCCAAATTACTTCGCGATCAACGCTGTCGAAGGCCTTCTCAAAGTCTATAAAGTTGAGGTAGAGGTTTGATTGCCATTCCATGCTTTGTTCGGTGATGATGCGTAGAGTTGCAATTTGGTCAGTACATGATTTGCCTTTCCTGAATCCAGCTTGTTCTGGTCGGAGTTCTGTCTCCAGTGCGTCCTTTAATCTCTCCAGGATGATGCGACTCAGGATTTTACTTGGCGTCGACAGGAGCATGATTCCTCGCCAGTTCTTGCAGAGTCCTAAGTCGCCCTTCTTTGGTAGTTTCACGAGGTAACCTTTCCTCCAGTCAGTAGGCACCTTTCCCTCCTTCCAGACCTTTTGCAATAATGGAGTCAGCATGTCTGCTGTAGTCTCTGGGTCTGCTTTCAGTGCTTCAGGGGGTATTCCATCTGGTCCGGCTGCTTTTCCAGCTTTCAGAAGTTTGATTGCGTTCAAGACTTCAGCTCTCGTTGGAGGATTGGTGTCAACTTGCAGTTGTGTGCGCGCTGTTGTTGGTATTTCTGGACGGGTTGCAGGTGATGGTCGGTTCAAGAGTCCTTTGAAGTGATCCGCCCATTGTTTAATCTGTTTTTCTTCCTTGGTAATGGGCTTCCCTTGGCTGTCTTTTATAGGTTTCGCTTGTGTTGGTCTCTTCCCGGATAGAGATTTGGTTATCTGATATAGTGTCCTCAGGTCCCTTTTGCCTGCTGCCTTTTCAGCTTCAGTAGCTAGATTGTCGTAGAATCGTCTTTTGTCCTTCCTAGCACTTTTCTTCACTTCTTTGTCCAATGCTTTGTAAGTTGAGCTCATCGTCTCCTTCTCCTGTCCGTCCTTGCATTGAATCATTTTCTCTTTCACCATTCTCCTCTCTTCTATTAATTTCCAAGTGTCCGTTGAGAGCCATTCCTTGTCTTGTCTCTTCTTTCTTCCTAGAACCGTTGAACACGTTTCGTTGAGAATCGCCTTCAGAGACTTCCAATGTTCTTCCACGCATGATTCTTCAGTGCTGTCGCGTAGTGTTTCCTGCTTTGCTCTGACAGTTGCAGTGAAAGTGTCTTTTGTGGTTGTGTCCTTCAGTAATTGAGTGTTGAACTTGCATTGTGGCCTATCCCCAGCTATCCTCGAGGCTTTTAGTTTCACCTTGAAAGTCCCTTCTACTAGATAGTGGTCTGAACCCACATCTGCTCCTCTCCTCGACCTTGTGTCCAGTAGGCTCCGTCTCCACTTTCTTGAAATTGAAATGAAGTCTATTTGGATTTTGGTGTTTCCATCTGGTGAAATCCATGTCGTCTTGTGTATATCCTTGTGTTTGAACACACTGCCACCAATCACCAAATCATTGAAGGCGCAGAAGTCTGAGAAGAGTTCACCATTGTCGTTCATTTCACCGAGGGCCTCACGACCCATGGTGAGTTCTCTTCCTGTGTTGTCTCCTCCCAGCTTCGCATTCATGTCACCCATCAGGATTTTGATATCGCCATTTGGGACGTTGTCCATTATTGCTTGTAGTTGTCTGTAGAACGCCTCCTTCTTCTCTTGTTCTGAGACGTTTGTAGGCGCATAACATTGAATGACTGTAACTTTCCTTCCTTTTGAGTTGAACCTGGCTGTCATTATCCTGGAGGAGATTGGTTCCCACTGCATGAGAGCTTTGGTTGCTGTTGGTGACATCATGATGGCCACTCCCTCGGTGTGCTCATGGTTGTCCTCTAGGTGGCCGGAATAGATTACTGTCTCTCCAGTAGGTAGTTGGCACCTTCCAGTTCCGTTCCATCTGCTCTCGCAGATTCCCAACACTTCTATTCTGTACCTTCTCATTTCAGCGGCTATCTGGGCAGCCTTTCCAGTTTCGTACATTGTACGAACATTCCAGGTACCCATCCTTATTTTTGCTTTCATCAGAAGAGGGCACATTGGCTTCCCGAAGGCTTTCACCAGCCTGCGTCATTTCACTTCCCCGATTCCAGCGAAAAGTAAGGCTATGGCTTATGTTTTTAGAATTTTTAATATATTTATTCGTTGAAGTTTCTGTAGCGATTTGGTTGTTTTACAGGGGTGGAGTTGCTAGCACCACGCCCCAACCCTTCCTCTTTACCCGGGCTTGGGACCGGCGAGAAAACTAGTAAGCTAGTAGCCTAGCAAGCTAGTATCTGGCGAGGTTCATAGGTATTAAAGTCCATAGAAATTGAATAACATCACCTAGCAACTAATCGCAGTCATGCATCACATGTTGAAGTGACTTCTTCAAAAATTCATGAATGCACAGCACAATTCGTTTAAAAAGTTAACTAACATATTTATAAATTTACACACTTCACATTTATCTGACTTCATTTAATAATTACCTAAGTCAACTGACCGTCCATTAAGAATAAAACTAAACGTGCATGTTGCTAGTTTTGTCATATTCTCGCCCACCGTGATGTGATGGCAGTGTCAAAATGGGATACACTGACTAGAACGAATCGTTTCTGTACATTTTACTATGACAGATAGGCCATTTGGATAAGTGTTATCCTGGAAGCAATCACCATCATATATTGTGTAAGTCATTCACACTATGCTGAAGGCTTGGAGATGAGGTCATACTGCTGACCGATAGAGTTATAAAACTAAGCCCGTCATTGTGTTGTCTCCCTGCCATGGGGAGGAGGGTTTAGAAAATGTCAATCCCAAATAATTCTACATCCCAATCTACCCTGCGATGGTAGGGTCTATTCCATTATTTCATTTCGTGTTTACAGTGGGACACAGGACTTCAAGCTAGAGCTTCGAAGGTTCGGTAGCAGTGATTTTTTTACGAGTGGGGTTGCTAGCCTAACGTCCAACTATCCCGCTCTACCGAGGTTTAGGAGTGCGTCAGCCGGAGATCGGACCCTGGACCACACGCGTGTTTGGCGAGCGTTCTACCGCTGAGCCCAGACGCGCCGGCAAGGTTTTTGCACACACATACAACTCCAAACACGCCTCAACTATTATTCCCTGGACTCAGTAGTCACGCAATGCCTTATACTCTTTATATTTCAGAAATTTTAACGAGAAACCAGCTTCTTATAGGCATTGGTAGTCGGGAAGTTACAACCATCCACACACAATACCTTTTCTGATTCCAATTACTTTCAGAGTGTATGCAACACAGGACTTCATACTCGACCTTTGCAATTTCAGTGGCGGTGTTGATTTATTCAAGGAGTTGGGTTGCTATCCCCTCATCACACCCATCCTCACCTATTTACCAAGTTTACTTGAGAACTAAACGAGCGAGGTTTAGAAGTAAGTGCGACGGCTCAGGGGGGGGGGTTAATCGGCAAGCATTCATGCAACAACATTGAAAAAGAAGACGAAGTTCTCTTGTAAAAAAAGCCCACACCAATTCTGTATATATTTTCTTTAAGCAAATACCTATTTCACTTAGAAAATCATTAAAAACAGTTTGTGTATTTTTATGTAAGCATGGATGGATGTACATACGCACGCACGTATTCATAGAAATCACTTCAAAAAATACACACAGTTAGATAGTAAAATTCAAGGGTAAAACTAGCAAAACTGGAAATCATAAGGAGAACAGAGCCATATTGACCAGCGAGAGAAAGAGAGGAAGATTAGTTGACTGACTGAGGCGAATTCACGACAGTATGTTGACAGGGAGACACTCACTATCATTAATTAATCCAACACGCACACACACAGACACATGCTGCTCTGCAAAGTCTGTTTGAAAACAATAGTAGTAATACTTATGGTAATAGCAAAAATTATGCCATCAGGAGAAAAATTATGTAAAGAAACAATGATGAGAATGTACAAAAGAGAAGTAAAACAAAAAAGGCTATATGTAAGGTGATGTGGTATGACATCAGTCAGTGCATTGCAAAAAGAATGCAGAAGAATAGTTCAAACAAGATAGACTTTCGACAAATGGTTGGTTTTATTCTTATCATTGTTTTCGGTCTCTCTTTCTCTCTGAAGAACGATTGGTTAGGTGGGTATTGGCCTAATTCACGAGTACTACACAAACACACATACACATCACAGAAAATAAAGTTTCATTCTTATTTATCTCGTTTTCTTATTATTTTTTTTAAAATGACACCTAGGTAGGTAATGGTAATAGTAGTAGTAATAATAATAAAAAAAGTAGAATAGTAGAATAGAAAAGAGAGGTGATCATCGATGAGAAAACACTACATAAAATCATCATATTCATCGGCAACAGCATCATCATCTCCTCCATAGTTGTAGTCGTTCTCTCTTTCAACCAGCAGCTTGCCTTTCGCCTTCTTCTTCGTTTTACCCTAATGAAAAACACAAAGAGAATGAGGTGGGAAAATGAAATGTAATTAACTCAATAACCAATTGAGAAGAAGCTTTAGTAAGGAAATGAAATCTTCCAGAAATACAGTCTACTCAAAAAGTAGATATCCAACTCTACAGAAGACGGATGTGTCAAAGAAACAACTGAAATACAATGGAGATACAATTAGAGTGTAATTTACTACGAAGTCGCCTGTGGAGAGAGCAATTTGAAAAAAAAACACGTTTTCTTTCGCTGCATCTCTTTACGCCACACACCCACACATACACCTTCACACATGTTCTTGTGCATCAAAGAAAAGGTCAAGGTCACAAGAGATCCCGCTGTTGGCAACATAGGCGGTACCAGTAGGACATTGTCTAGGCACATCAACAAGCCAATAGCTTCTGGCCATGTAGCAGAGACTTCATTCAGAGTCGTGTAAGATGAAGCCATTCATGCAACCGAAGCTTTAGGAATCTATTATGCAAAATCTGAAATTCGTATTCAGAAACATGTAATCCAAATTCATTTACTAATACCACAGTTTAGAAGTTACGAAAAGAGATGTCTTTTTCGTCAACTTATGTGTTCGTAGTTGTAATCCTACGCAGCTGGTAGCGAGCCACACGCCTATTGCATGTGTGTCTCAAGGTTGATGCAACAATTACGTCAACTTACCAAACCTCGCTGGTAGGATAAGAAGCATGGGGTTCGAACCCATGACACACTTACACACACACTGGTTGAAAGTCGAGCACCTAAGAGACCGATTTCAATACAGATTTATGTTTACTACCGTAATTACCAGATAAGGAAACTGATGTATGGATACTTACAGAGGCATTTTTACATGTACTAATCTTATTCATGTGAGCGAACATTAGAACTAAAAGTAAAGAGAAAGTGATTGGGGGGGGCGTAGAATAAAACACACTACTACACTATCTCTATTAACATTCTAACCTATTGCTTTCCCTTCTTTTACTGCTTTACGTAGCAAGTTTTACCACATAGTTCACCGTTAACGACTAATTAATAGGGTAGAAAACGTCGGGAGTTAAACGAAGGAATAAAACCACGTTTTGTTTATGCATTTATCAACTAGGCAGACAAGTTGGAAGTTGTACAACATAAAAAAACTGATCTTTATTTTCCAAAGACCATGGCATCTCGAGCCATTGATGTATGCTGTGTTTCAGGAACACGCATACAAGACCCAAGTGTGGTTATTCACCTAACCCCACCTGGCCAACAGGTTGAATCTGCAAAATTCACCTTGAGGGTGTCAGGAGATGCCACAGCTAGTTCACGAGGATTAGCTGGTGTAGGGATAGCTTTGAGTACTAGGGCAGAAAAGACATTGCTTGACTGGATCCCGGTAGATAGCCGAATGTGTGCTGTCCGCCTGAACGGATCAGTAAGAAGGAGGAAGGACTGCACTACTCGCCGATGCCTTTTCGTAATCTCCGCCTACGCCCCCACTGACTGCAGTTCAGATGAAACGAAGGATGAGTTCTACCAAAAGCTGTCTAGTTTGGTGGAAAGGCTAAACGCTCAGACATAGTCGTTCTAGCTGGTGACTTTAACGCTCAAGTAGGGAAATTGTGTCAATCTGAGAAGGATGTCGGTGGCACCTATGGAGTTCCGTGCCAGCGAACCGACAACGGTGACCGTCTCCTACAGTTCTGCTCTGATAATCATTTGTTTCTTGTAAGCACTAACTTCAAACACAAGGAGAGACACTGTTTGACTTGGAGACCCCCTTCATCAAACCAACGCTGGACACAAATAGACCACATAGCAATAAGCTATCGTTGGCGTGGGTCGGTAGGAGATTGTCGCTCCTTCTGGAACACGTGCGTAGATACCGACCATGCACTGGTCCGCGCTCGGGTGTGCTTACGACTGAACGGACGTAGGAAACAGCTGGCGGTAAAACCATCACGTCCCCAGCTCGATCAGGAAACTAAATCCGTATTTGAGGAAGAACTAGCTAAACACATATCTGTGTTCGACAGCTGTGCTCACCCTGAAGAAGCTTGGAAAAATATCCAGGCAGCCATAGATACAGCTGTAAAAGCTGTGAATAAGGTAAACCCAAAGGTGAGTAAAAACCACTGGATCTCCACCGCCTCATCCGAACTGATAGATGCTAGAAGACTTATTCCGGCGAGCTCCGAATTCAATGAGGAGCGAAAGCTGCACAAAAGGAAACTTACGAAAAGTCTCCGCAAGGACCGTGAACAGTGGTGGGCGACAAAAGCCAAAGAGATGGAGAAAGCTTCGAGGATAGGCAACACCAGGCAACTCTTTAGACTCATCAGGGAAACGGGTGGGAGAAGACAAATCATCAGTGAGACAATCTCGGAAAAAAATGGCACTATAATTAGCTCCCAGGATAGACGACTGGATCGTTGGAAAGAGCATTATGAGGAGCAGTTTAATTGGCCCACAGCCACGCTCAACCTTCCGAGCATCCAACACCTCCCTGAATGGGATATAGACACAGGTCCTCCGTCCCTAACTGAGGTTACTAAAGCTGTCACCAATCTGAAACTAGGCAAAGCAGCGGGACCTGATGGAATGACTCCAGAGGTATTTAAGTACGGTGGAGACAGCTTACTGTCCGGATTAACTGAGGTACTAGGCAGCGTCTGGGAATCAGAAGAAGTCCCATCGGGTTGGTGTAAGTCACTGATTATCCCCATATACAAGAAGGGAGACAAGTCTTCCTGTGATAATCACAGAGGGATTAGCTTGACTAATATAGTATCTAAAGTCTTAGGCTCAATAATCATGCGTAGACTGAGTGGTGCTCGGGAGGCACAAACACGAGAGAGCCAGGCAGGCTTTAGACCAGGAAGAGGGTGTATTGATCATATCTTCACCCTCCGACAGATTCTAGAACATAGGCATTCCTACCGGCGTCCAACAGTCATTATATTTCTTGACCTAAAGGCAGCATTCGACTCTGTCGATCGGAAGTTCTCTGGAGATGCTTGGCTGTAAAGGGAATTCCAAGAAAATATATTGCACTGATTAAGGCACTCTACTCGTACTCATACAGCCAGGTGAGGGCTTACGGCGAGCTGTCATCTGAACTGATGACGACCAGTGGTGTCCGTCAAGGATGCCCATTATCTCCTTTTCTATTCAACTTCATCATAGATGTGTTAATGGACTTAACCCTAGGTGACTTCAGCGACTCAGGGATTGACTTGCTACCGGGGAATAATCTCGTTGACTTGGAATATGCAGACGATATAGTCCTTCTAGGCGAAGACGCTGACGAAATGCAGAGTCTTCTAAACACCTTGAGCCGCAATCTACGAATGTTTGGCATGCGATTCGCTCCCGCCAAATGCAAGATGATGTTACAGGACTGGACTACATCGACGCCTAGTTTAAAAATAGGAAGTGAAGTGGTAGAGCACGTTGACCGCTTCACTTATTTGGGAAGTACCATCAGCCCCAACGGGCTGATCTCTGACGAAATCTCAGCACGAATACAGGGGGCTCGTTTCGCATTTGCCAGTTTACGCCGACTCTGGCGTAGACGAGATGTTCGACTATCGACCAAAGGGCGGGTGTACTGCTCATCAGTCCGCTCCGTCCTCCTTTATGGTTGTGAGACCTGGCCACTGAGAGTGGAAGACATGAAAAGACTAGCTGTCTTTGATCATAGGTGCCTGCGTTCTATTTCCCGTGTAAAGTGGCATAATAAGGTGAGCAACATGGAGGTTAGGCGTCGAGTTCTAGGTAAACAGGGGAAATCAATCGACGAAGTCGTGAAGTTACAAAGACTGAGATGGTTAGGACATGTGTTACGTATGCCAAGCCATCGCCTCCCTCGACGAGCAATGTTAGCGGATATAGGGTCAGGCTGGAAAAAAGCTAGCGGCGGTCAAACAAAAACTTGGCACCAGTCAATGAAATCCACAACAGTTGGTCTAAGCCACGTAGGAAGGTGTAGACTTCCAGGCTGGGGTCCTCGGGACGGTAAAAATCTATGGTTGGAAACAATTGGTGACATGGCTCAAAATCGTTCTCAGTGGCGCAGATGCATCCACTCCTTGTGACTTATGATCTCCAATGAAACTGTTTTGTTCTTCGTTATTACTCCTTTGTCTCACACCTCTGCTCACTGTCTCTATTATGCTTTTCTTGTACTTTCTTCTCTTGCTTCGCGTGCTACACGGAGTGTGGCGACTTGAACTTCCGCACATTTGTGCAAAGTTCTATGTCGAAAACAGACAGGTAGACAGACCAAAGAACACAGAGTAGAGAATGAACACATATAGCATTAAAATCAACGGTCTTTTTTCACTCCTTTGAGTTCCGACTGAAACGTAAGCCTTGAAGCATGAGTCTAGAAGTTTCAGAAGCATGTGTGTTCCTTAGACAGGATGCAGTTGCCAGTCGCATACCTAACCCTACCCGTTTAACAGGTTTACTGTCAGTTCAGTGAGGTTTAGAAGTGCGTCGGCCGAGAATCGAATCTACATTCACTGTGTGCGTGTTGGAGCGCATTCCATCAATAAGCCATCCGACGAACAATCCATCAGTGTAAAACGGTCACAAACTGTCGATGACATTGTTTTTAACTGGACACATTGTCTTCGTTGAAAACACTTATCAAGAGAACTGCGGTTGGATGTTACTGTTGAACCTCAACTCCTCAGGATAGCTTTTTGTGTAGAGCTGAGTCACTCTTATTGTGTGAAGACTAGTGACATTGCCCAGTTGCCAGTGATGCTGAATTAGGTGGAATGCGATTTGAAACCGGGACACACTGGCTGGAGAAAGTCTATTGCTTACACACCTATGAACCAATTCTTCACTGTTGGACGAAAAAATATCTATCTCTATTTTAAAGAAAAACTAGTCGAAACATTTCATACTACATATGATTTATCATGATATATTGTACCAGAGCGACATGGTTATAAACAATACACTTTTTTAAATTACCTATTTACAAGGTTGGTGAGGGTAAGTTGGTAGCGCCTGCTACCTCTGAGATGTACCGAACTGAGTCAAACTGAAAGCTATCTTGTAACCCGACTCAATAACACAGACGGATGAAATCTCTAATCGGATAGTGGAAGCCAGAATGACATACGCCATGAGCTGGGTCACCATCGACGCCATCACGATGTTAGCTTGGCTGACAAGGCGCAATCTTGCTCTACACGCCTGAGAAACCTGCCCTCTTCAAGCTGACGGTGTGCGGCTGCTGTGTGCATTCGATCGCTGCCTTCACAGAATCATTGTGCCAAATGGTATCGTTATTCTGAGGTCCTGAAGCGTGCGTTTGGACACAGTGGAGTTCACCCTTTGTTGTGTGTGATCATTCTAAAACTCTGGCTTCATTGGCTTGGATATGTGCTATAAATGTCATCCTAAAAGCTCTCAAACCATTCGCTGTTCGCTGCCACTGGAGAGTAGGTAGAGAAAGCGGAGACATGGTTAAGCTACAACGTGTCACAGTGAGATGATGGATATGTGGGTGTTAAGTCAGCAACCGTTAGTGCATCACAACTCCCCAGATGGCATCCGAAAGATAATTTGAATCGATGACTCGAAATGTTATCAGATATGTCTGTCTGGATTCAACATAGAACTTGGCACCGAAGTGCACCAGTTCGAGTTGCCACCTTCCAAATAGCACACAGAGGTAGACAAGAAGATGAGTGAAGAGAATCAATACAGTCTGACAAGTATAAGAGTGAAACAGAATTGGTAATGGTAGAAAGGAATATGAAAGATTACAGAGACTGAATACATCTGCGCTGGCCATTGACAACGATTTTGAGCCATGTCACCTATTGTCTCCAGCCATTGATTCCTAGAGTCCCGAGGGCCCCAACCCGGAAGTCTGCATCTCCCTACCTGACTCAGTTTAACTGTCAAGGATTTCATGGATTGATGAGGCCATGTTTTTGTTTGGCCACCACTGGCTCTTTTCCAACCTGCACCTATATCAGCTAGTAATGCCCGTCGGTGGAGGCGGTGGTTAGGCATGCACAGCACGTGACCTAGCCATCTCAGTCTATGTAACTTTATAGCCTCGTCGATTGATTTTCCCTCTTTGCTCAACACTCTACGCCTAACGTCAGCATTACTTACCTTATTAAACCACCTAACGTGAGAAAGAGATCGCAGACATCTATGATCGAAAGCAGTCAACCTTTTCATGTCTTCAACGCGTATTGGCCATGTTTCAGAGCCATAGACAAGGACGGAGCGAACTGCTGAGCAGTACACACGTCCCTTGGTTGATAACCGGATGTCACGCCTACGCCAGAGATGGTGTAAGTCAGCGAAAGCAGCTCGAGCTTTTCGGATCCGTGCTGAGATTTCATCGCCAATCAGTCCGTTGGTGCTAATACAACTTCCCAAATAGGTGAAGTGGTCAACATGTTCTATCACTTCACTCCCTATCACTAAGTTAGGAGTTGACGTGGTCCAGTCCTGTAGCAGCATCTTACATTTTGCAGGGGCGAATCGCATGCCAAACATACGAAGATTGCTGCTCAAGGTGTTCAGAAGACTCTGCATTTTGTCATCATCCTCCCCTAATAGGACTATTTCATCTGCATATTTTAAGTCCATAAGACTATTCCCTGGTAACAAGTCGATTCCTAAGTCATTACGTTCAGTTAAGGATACTTCCATCAGCATATCTATGATGAAGTTAAACAGAAATGGGGAGAGTGGACATCCCTGTCGGACACCACTGGTTGTTACCAATTCAGATGACAATTCCCCATAAGCCCTTACACGATTACGTGAGTTTGAATAGAGTGCCTTGATTAGTGCAATGTACTTTCTTGGCACTCCCTTCACAGTCAGACATTGCCATAGTACCTTTCGATCCACGGAGTCGAAGGCCGCCTTCAAGTCAAGAAATATGACAATTGTTGGACGCCGAAAAGTGTGTCTATGTTCTAGAATCTGTCGAAGAGTGCAGATATGATCTATGCACCCTCTACCTGGTCTAAAGCCTGCTTGATTTTCCCTCGTTTGTTCCTCCCGAGTTCTGCTTAGTCTGTGCATGATTACTGAGCCTAGGATTTTAGAGACTATGTTCGTTAGACTGATCCCCCTATGATTATCACACGAGGACTTGTTTCCCTTTTTGAATATCGGTATAATAAGTGACTTACCCCAGTCTGGTGGCATTGTCTCTGATTCCCAGACTTTGCCTAGTACCTCAGTTAATCTACAAACTGGTATGTCACCCCCATATTTAAACACCTCCGGGATAATTCCGTCGGGTCCTGCCGCTTTGCCTCGTTTCAAATTACTGATAGCTTTTGTGACCTCACTTACAGACGGCGGACCTGTGTCTATATCCCATTCGGGTGTGTGCTGGATGGCGGGGAGGTTGAGCGTGGCTGTGGGCCAATTAAACTGCTCCTCATAATGCTCTTTCCAGCGATCCAGTCGGCTATCCTGGGTGCTAAATATAGTGCCATTTTTTTCCGAGATTGTTTCACTGATGATTTGTCTTCTCCCACCCGTTTCCCTGATGAGTCTAAAGAGTTGCCTAGTGTTGCCTATCGCCGATGCTTTTTCCATCTCTTTCGCCTTTGTCAGCCACCACTATCCACGGTCCTTGCGGAGACTTTTCGTAAGATTCCTTTTGTGCAGCTTTCGCTCCTCATTGAATTTGGAGCTCGCCGGAATAAGTCTTCTAGCATCTATCAGTTCGGATGAGATAGTCGAAATCCAATGGTTTTTACTCACCTTTGGATTTGCCTTATTCACAGCTTTTACAGCTGTATCTATAGCTGACTGAATATTCTTCCAGGCTTCTCCAGGGTGAGCACAGCTGTCGAACATAGATATGTGTTTAGCTAGTTCTTCCTCAAATACGGATTTAGTTTCCTGATTGAGCTGGGGACGTGATGGTTTTACCGCCAGCTGTTTCCTACGTCCGTTCAGTCGTATGAGTTATCAGATATAGCCAAGAAATGCAATCAATGCTGAGAATGCTGCAATTTCTCTCTTTCTTCCCTTTCTAAAAGTAACATGAAATAATGAAGCATCCGTTGAACGACCTTTACATGTAAGCTTCCTTACTTACTTTCTGCATACCACCCCCTCATTTTTCTATCCCTGTTTTCCGTACATATTGTTGTTTTAATACTTTTGTGTGGCGCCTCTTTTGGTGCCCACAATGTACCAAGTTTGTTTTAATAATAATAATAAATTTACAATATTGCATCACTGTGTGCTTAATCAAGTAATCAAAGAAATTATTGAGTTTAACTACTCAGAAGGAGGTGATGAAAATAATCAACCGACAGCAACAAGCACCAATCACTATAAACAGAAATTTGAAAAAATCACTCCTTCCACCTATGAAGGCGGCTTCGTTTCGACTACAGGGGAGGTACAGATGGAGCAATCAAAGACAGTCACAATCGTAAAGGCAAGATAAACCCTCATCAATTGAAATCAATTTGGAAATCTTCTGTCCTCAACATAAATCAGACAACTTAGTTCATATTTTCAACATCAATGTTAAGCCAGTTAAGTCTTTTATTTGGATGAGAAACTTGGCATTTCACATGGAAAACATTTCCAGGAAGCTACTGCAGCCTTCCACCAACAGCTACCTTCGCTGAAGCTCCCTACTGAAGATTAGATGACCAGTCGGAAAGAATTAGCAACAAAAACTCTAGGAACGAACCAATATCAACGAACAATTGCTCAACATGTGTGCCGAAGAAAATGTAGATGGATCGGAGACACGCCACTGAGGAGACCGTTGCATGACATCGTGTGCCAAGCCATCGGGTGGAAGTCAAATAGGAACGATGTGAGCGTCCGAGTGTGACTTGGGGAACATGTAAGGAGAAGAGGAGGCGCCAATGGGTAATCATGGAGGACTGCAGAGAACAGGACAAAATGGAGATACTTTATTCCAGGGCCTACGCTACACTCGGAAGCCAAGCGAACAACAGTAATAATACTATTATAATACTCGGGAGAAAAAAAACACATAAAGATAACAATTCGTCATAAGAACTCACCTTAACCAATTTCTGTTTTTCACTTATCAATGCATTGATAGCAGTGTTGACGGAACGTAGTGTGTCGATTTCCACTTGAAGACAAAAGAGATGAGATTACGGGGAAAACAAATTCACTTACTTTCAACAGTAAGATCACGGATTAAACTTTCTGCAAATGCACTGTAATGTGGAGATTTCTACCAATAACAACAATAAAAAATGACGAAATGTTCACAATCCTACCTGTATAGTTGTAATTTTAGTCACAAGTAATTCATGCAAACGATTAAATTCCTCCTTAGTTGTTGGACAACACGAATCAATAGTTTCTTTATTAACATTCTGAACAGGGGTAGGACCTAATGTAAAAGCAAAAACAAGCCAGATTAGTAAACCATTCACACACACACACACACAACACTACTAACCGAAAGTATCTTTCAATAGGCCAAGTTCTGCCTCTTCAGCAAGTTTTTCACGTTGAAGTTCTGTTGCAGGCTGAGATTGTTTTAATTCTTCTTCTTGTCTTTTGAGTTTCTCTTCTCTTTCTTTTCGTTTTTGCTCCTCTTTCAATTTTATACGTTCAGCTAGTGATAGTTTAGGTGGTGCTTGACTAGCAGGTTTCGATGTTGTCTTGCTAGCCGGCTCTGCATCCCAAGATTCCTTGAATAACACGGGAAAGATGGTAAATATATTGAGAGAAAGAATGAAAACGCTCATTTATTTTACTGAAACACAAACTAGATACATAATGGACACCAAGAGAGGTGCCATACAAAATTTCATAGTTTATGTGAGGTCTGGGTACTACCTGAAAGCCGAAATCGAAGCAGGTGGTTGTCTCAAAGGGCCACCCACCACCTCCTAATTTTTTGACTTGAAGTCTGATCCACAATACAGTGGAACAACCCCAGGAGCTACGTTACCATAGTTTCCGGCAACCAAAAAAGGTTCATACTCCATTCCATCCTTTCAGATAGTGGAGCCTATGTATTACACCGACCGTATCAAGTCATTGATTCTTGGTGTTTTCAAGGACCCCAACCAGGTAGTCTACACCTTTCCCTTATGTGGCTGGCTAAAATCAGTCTTTGTGGACTGCTGCCTTGTTTGAGATTGATCACTAACTCTTTTCCAACCTAATCTTATATCAGCTAACATTCATTGACGAAGAAGGCAGGGCTTCGGTATACATAATGTCGTTTATACACTATTGCAGGATTTAATTCCCTATTAGATACGCCTAAATGATATAACAACACACTATTGTTCTTAAATTCTGAACCAACGCTTATTTTCTTTAGTAAATAAATTCTGAAACAATTTGAAATTGTAAAACAGAAGCCCTGTGCTGTTTTCCATATTACCCAGAGTAGTTAAGTACCAACTGGCATCATTTCAGAGATTCCTCCCGAGATTCAGCATAACCCGTATAATTTCAGCACCCCGCAGCACTACTATCACCGGTACTTCAGAGCTCTAGGTCCAGTTCTCCACTGGATACCATTATTTCAGCGTCTACTGGCTTCTGTGTCAGTATCACTTCAGAGCTTCAAGCCCCAGTTAAGCATTGACTAGCAATAATAGTGCATCTCCTAGGACCATTTTAGCGATCTTCAAGCACTAGTTCAGCACTTACTAACTGCACTTTCGAAGTATCCAGCATATTCAACGCGTTAATTATATAACTACTATTGGAATAATTACAAATGTCATGTTGTGACGAATAATTATCACTTATCATACGCTTTCAGAAATCACTGAGCTTGCATTAACAAGCCACCAGCTTTCTATTTTGAAATAAAAGTATAAAATTATCATTATTACTATTGTTATTATCATTAAATGTTGCATTAAACGTAAAGTTTAAAAAATACGTCATGTATTGTCTGACTTCATTTCTTCTTTATACACCTCTGGACGCGGTCTTCCAAGTTGTGAAAGTAAGACTTGGTGGCTTTGTGCATCAGGTCTCCAACTTCCTTATACGACACGACTCACAGAGGACGCCAAAATTACAGTTATGTAGATAGTTATTTCATAAGTGAAGCCTACATCTCATTATATTATACAAAGTACACGTCACAATGCTCGATTTCATCAGAGTTCCCTGAACCATAACCATCATGCTCAGTTCAGGTCTCAGAACACTGGACAACATAACTTCAATGATGATTTCGGATCACTTTGAAGGCACCCAATAAATTTGGAATTCTATTGAGAATCGCAATCAAGTTGGAGAACACAGAAATGTGCCTTATATCTCTCGTCTCTTAAAGATCATCCCAGCACCACTAAGTGGTCCTCATTGTCAAATTAAACGTTAATTGGCAAGCCCTCAAGAAAGGTTCTGGCCCTATGGTCAAATCATTCACTTTGGAGCCCATGTTGCTCTTATACCTATGTGTCTATAAGATTATGTTTCTCTGGCAGGGTTTCACAGTTCGACGAGAAAAAAGAATGGATATTGAACTAATAACAGCCATGCAAGGCGGTCTACAACTGAGTAGGGACCAAACTAATGATTTTAAGAGGAAACGTTGATCGTTAGTTGAAGATAGCCAATGGAAGATGACGGAATGCAGAATCTTCCTGTGATATTTGGGTTCCGACATAGAATACTTCTAAGTAATGTGAAGTGGAAATTGAAGCTGATTTGTGTTGTCCGCCTACTTCCCCGCAGTCACCATTCCTTTGTCCTGGTTAAAGCAATGAAAGATTCCGGATGTTGCCAGCCACCAGAATTCCATCATCAATAGCAGGCAGAAAGTTAGTTAAAATATGAGAGTGAATTGTCGGTGAGCACTGAAAGAACTTCCATTGAACTCGCCTATTTGAACTGGTTTCATTTTCGTTGGAAGCAAAAATCCCTATAGCACATTCAACATTTGCCTCCTGACATAGGACCACAACAATACGATCGGAAGTATTGGTGCATATTATACTGACATTTGAATCGAGACATTGACAGCGTATTCATACTAGCTAACTGTGAACCTGATGATTCAACTGATGTATAAGTAAGTTCGTTATATTGGTTTGTCGTTGATTGACCGATACATTTTCAACGTCCCGGTTTATCTTTTACTATCAATCACACCGAAGTTCAGTTGATTATCAATTACACAACCAGTGTTCCGAATTCCGAAAAGTCAAATTCCGGTGACAGCAATAACGATCGACAGTCTCACCGAGTTTTGAAGCGGCCAAAGTCTCTGTTACACTAAATTAACGCCAGGGAACAAAGTAAACATGTTTGTAAGTTTAGTTTCACCAACACGCTGCCATCCGTACCAGTCAGTGTTGTACCGCAAATTATACGACAACAAGAGGTCAAAGACTCAAACCAGTATTTAGTTCCAAACGAAGGTGTGTAGAACAGGACTTAAGCCTTCCTGCATTACTGGGATGGGAAGGTATTCAAGCGAACTTGATGTATAGAGGAGTTTATATACCCACCATGACTTCGTGATCTCACAAAGAACATAAAGCCATGAGACACGAGAATGGAACAAACGCTCCCGAATTCATGGTAAATGAAGGATATTTTGCTTCCTCAATAAGAAACACACTGGGAAAATGTCGACGCAAAGTATTTCAACTATTAGCGAAATTTCAAAAATTCTACAGAAAGAATGCGATATGTAGTAGATAATTCCGAGAAATCAACCGTGATCACGTTAAATTATCGCCACTCAAAACGCATAGAGAAATACAAAAACAAAGTTTGTTAACCATTCCATGCCAGGTCATGCCAAAGGAGTACGTAAAAATGTCAAACGATAATGAATAAGCTACAAAAAAAGACTCTTGCATTCAATCGCCATATTCACTTAAGGGTCTAACGGATGACTTCGTTCACCTCCGATTCCTAGGTATCAGTATTATTAGATGTCATTCATATTAGGTACTTCCGATACCCCGAACTTCCATTGTTCCGCTCCTATTCCCACAAGAAGGATGAAAACCATCTTTAACCAGTAAGCACAACTGTAACATTTTGTATACTTGTTTCGGACTGCCATCTAACGAGCCTATCAATGAGCTTTTGACTCTTAATAGGAAATTACTCAGTAAGTACCTCAAAGCAATCATTAATTTCAAGATGTGACAATAGAATACGCCAAACTGTGCACAAAAATCTCATTCATTGTGAGTAGTAACGGCAAATCCCGATGACAAACACATCTTCCGGCCAACAAAGACCACAAGCTGGAGTTCCAGATGACAATGAGAATCACTTAGAGTAGCCAGAAGCGCCTTTAAGAGCCCACAACTGTGGGAGGATATTTGTGAGTTCGCCTGCTTAATTATCATTCTCTATAGATAGTCGAAATTGTTAGCTGCCTTCCAAGTGATCCGAAGTTATGATGCACAGTGTTTTGAGACCTAAACTGGGCTTGGAGTTCACATTTCGGGGCACCATGGCTAAGTTCAGCATTGTGACTTAATGTAATCAGACCTAAGGTTCTTCTAATAAACTATTTTTATATAGCTTGAACTATGGCGGAGTTTCCCATCAAACTTATGTCGTCTAAAAAGGTGGAGACGTGATGGACAAACCCAGCAAGTCGTACTTTCACAGATCAGAAGATCACGTCAAGAGGAGCATAGAGAAGAAAGGAATTTAGGCAATATTGGGAAACACAGACGTACTTTCAAAATTTACGTTTAATGCAGCATTTGACAATATTAACAATAGTAATAATAATGATAATTTTATACTTTATTTTCAAATAGAAAGCTAGTGACTTGTTAACGTAAACTCAATGACTCTCAAAAGTATAAGATATGGTAAGTGACAAATAGTGCAACATGACAGTTGCAATTATGCCTATAGTAGCGGTTTTGTAGTGCATCGTATATGCCGGTTGTTTCGGAAGTACAGTCAGTAAGTGCTGAACTAGTGCTTGAAGAGCGCCAAACTGGTCCTAGGAAATAATCAACTAATGCTAGTCAGTCCTTAATTGGGGCTTGAAGCTCTGAAACGACGCTAATATGCCAGTAGGTGCTGAACTAATCAGTATGGAGCTAAAAAATGCTGGTGTAAAATTAGTATAATATGGAAAAACAGAATATTTTGTCCGTAATTTCGATTCAGTTTAGAACCATTTCAGAACATACTCAATGGAAATAAATCCTAAGTTCATACTTTGCAATAATTCGATCAGCATTAACGTGAGTTTGGGAAAAGTACGGTAACACGGTCAGGGATGACGACATCAATCGCAATAGCATTAGTTTGGGAAACACTTAGGAATACTGAGAAATTACGTAGTTCCCTGGAGTCGTTAACTGTTGACCCGAGTAGCTGAACGACCGGCCCAAGTTTCTGGGAGGCTAAGAATCGAAGCTTAAGGGGCCTTCATTGAATTGTCGAAATTGTTCGCAAAGTCACAGATACACCTATTTACTGTCATTCCCCATGTTAAGAACATCTTGGGAGAATTTATTTGCCCAAGCTCATAACAATTTTAAACCGATCCTAAACTAAACGTCGATTATGCTGTTTTATGATAAATGAATTTTTTGTGTACCTAGAAAGAACCTAGTAATTTACTGAAGTAATGCTGGAAGTGCTTAATAATAGCACTGGACGCCCAAGTAATGCGAGCTGTGCCGAAACAAGGCTAGTCAGAGCTGAACTGGAGTTTAGGGAGCTCAAATGATGCTGAAAAACAAACCCAGCAGGCTCTGAACTACTGCTGATAATGCCGAAGAGAACAGGGTGCTGAACTAGAGCCAGACGTACTGGGAGAAAGCGCCGAGTTCTGTTTTGTGCAGAGAATCACAACATTTCGGAATTTACCCAATATTGAAAAAAGGTATTAGTTGAGAATTTGCGAGATTCACTTCAGCATTATTATTAGCTTGGGTAACAGCTCGATCACCGATTAGACAAATACTGACTATGACGCAAAACCCTCTGGAATATTACTGTGTATTTGTGACCAGTTATGCAGTCTGCTAGTGTTCATGAAGAGAATACAAGGAAAACGAACAGGATTACAAGACTTACAGGGATAGCATCATCGTCGTCATCGTCCCAGGAGGTTTTAATCTGCTTAGCTACAATATCATTTTGATCTTCATCGTCTAGAGGAGATTATATACCGAAAAGTGATCAGTTTACTAACCCCAGTCGCCCATGTTAAACGGTTACACGCACTTATCACGCCTGAATCCACAAATGAAAACCGCGCGTATCTCAAGGTCGTCAGTGGTAATAACACTCTTCATGAGGCAAGTGACACCGTGTTTAGCAGCATGTGCTAATACTCGCAGTATACATTTCTGTGAATATACAGTTTCCTTTAAAGCTTTCACTGAATGAGCCGGTATCACTAGTTCTAGCGGTCAATCCCAGTCGGTGACCACCCTCTGAAACGATTTGAGTCATTTTCCAATATCCTTGTGACAGTCCTATGCATACTTGCAAATTTCTTAGCACTCAATTCCTAATGTTTTTGAATGACTGCAGGCCTTTGACAGATTCCTGTGCAGGAGAATTACCCCTGTTGACTAACATGTTTCCCCTGATTATAGTAAGAGGAGAGGCATTAATCTATTTTGAAGAGAATATGCGGTCTGACGCCGATTGGGTTTTCAAGTGTAGAATCACCAGACGATTGTCCAGATAAGCCAGAGACCTCTAGAAACTGTGATAGTAAGAGAGTAGAAACGGAATCTGGAGAATGAGTAGAAAAAGCTGACTCAGCATAGGACAATGGGAATGAATGTGGAACTGATGGTAATGAAAATATACTCTCAGATAAACAGGTCCATTTAAACGAAATGCATACCATTTTCGCAAGCACGATCAAGCTTAATGTGAATTCTTCTCTCAAAATATCTATAAATTAATACTGTTTTCACTGTATGTATAGTCGAATTGTCATACACGTTATCAGAACGGGTCAATGTAGATATTACGTTTTGAAGCCATTACCGAGATCGACATCCAGTTTTATCAGCCACCCAAACTTTGTTTCGTTTTCTGCATGTGGTCGTGGTCAATCAATGAGCAACCAATATTCGGGTAAGTGCTAAATCCATATGTGATTAGAAGCCATCTCATGGAGAAAGGGCGTTCTGAGAAACTGTGTAGTGGACCAAGATACAATTAAGGGTAATATACAGTTAAAAGTACATCTACAAGAGATATACAAGAAGGACCTATACAGTCAAGTTAAACTTCAGGAGCCAGATTAAAGCAGCGGGCAAATAGCCATGAACTCGAACCAACCCGAATATCTCCCCTATCAGGTTGACCTAACCAAACCTTGTCCTTAGCCTAAACCTTAAGTTGGTCCTTCTCACATCTAACCGAAACTTTCCAGATATTCTGTTTAACATCACGTTATTTCATTCGTCATTATAATGCTGTTTGTCATGTTTCACTTAACTTCTGACCGAGCCTTCCAAGGTCATTCATAAGGCCGCACTCTGTCGGTACTTATTGCTGCTTGAAGTTTAATTTGGCCATACAGCCCCTAGGATGATAATGTATATTTTCGGTGTGTATTTCTTACAACGTTGGTCTCACCGTGATGTTTTCAATGAAAACACTGCTTTCCTCAAAGAAGTTGTCGCCTTTCTTCTCTGGCACAACGAGACTTTAAAAGAACACGCCGGCACGCGTTAGCGGCAACCGTCGCGGTGGCATTAGCCGCCCACTTTACATTCGTGATGTAGTCACCCAAACCCAGTACTTAGTCGACACAGGCGCCGAAGTCAGAGTCCTTCCTGCTACAGCGACGGATCGACAGAAGGAACCCACCTTCAACTTACATGCTACAAATGGAAAGCTAGTTGCAACCTAGGAAATACGTTGTCAATCACGTCTCATAAACCGTTAATGCCCAGCTCTCGCTACGCTCGGGCCCACGCTGTTCTTCGAAGTTTTCTCAGAAACGCTTAGTTATAACGGACGCAAAATCCAAAACACTGATCTGCCGCGTTAGATTTGTTTACTGTTACACCAACATATAAAAGGAATAAGCGAACTAAGGTCTGTAAACAAATATTACAATAATAAATCGTCATATTACTTCTGACGATGTTTCACTCTTCTTTCTGAACAGCGACCGATGAGACGATGACTGTCGTATTGATGCCTCCGCGAAAATCGGGGAAGTTGATTTTGAGCAAACAACCAAGAATTGATCGTTCAATCTTCAACTCCATTGACATACGTCTATCTGAACGTAGGTTTACGCAAACCTATTGAGTGAATTTTTCTTGTCGCTGACTTCACAATGCCCATCATTGGCACGGACCTACTGAATCATCGTGATTTACTCGCAGACTTCCGTCGAAAACGACTGACTGACATTATTACTAGTCTGTCTATCAAAGGCATCATCTACGTAGGCCCCAGCTTGTCACTCGTTAAGATGAAGGCAATCCTAGATTCAAGTTTCTAACCGATTTTGATAAGTACCCGGAACCTAATTGCCCGTCTAACGACCTACCGTGCATAACCAGCAATGTTATCCACCACACCATTACCTCAGGACAACCCTTGACACCTAAAGCATGACGACTTGCTCGCTAGAAATGAAATAAATCATATGCTCACCCTTGGCATCATTCGGCCATGGGATAGCTCACGGACATCCCCATTGCATATGGTAACGAAAAGGGATAGCAACGATTGGCGACCCACCGGTGATTACCGGGGAGTGAAAGCCAAAACAACCCCTGATTGCTATCCGTTGCCTCACATACACGACTTGACGCAAAATTATCCGGCGCAACTTAGTTAAAGCGTATTATCACATCCCGATGGCACGAGAGGATATTCCGAAAACGGATATTATTACGCCTTTCGGACTCTTTGAATTTCTACGTATGCCATTCGGTCTCCGGAATGCAGCACAAACATTCCAACACTTCTTCGGCGAAGTATTTCGCGGTCTTGACTTTGTATACGTATACTTAGACGACTGTCTCATTGCCAGTCCAAACAAGGATACTCACCTTCGGCACTTGTACTGGGCATTTGAAAGGTTCCGTCTAAAATGTTTTACCAATAATATTCAGAATTGTCAGATATGCGTCGGCTCACTCGACTCTCTGGGCCACACTACTGACTACAAGGTTACTCGCCCACTGGCTAGTCAAAATGTAAACAAAATGTAAACTCTGTAAACAAAGTTGCTACAGAACGGCAGTCATCTCTCTATCTCAACTTCATCGACTTTGAAAAGGCCTTCGACAGCGTCGATCGAGAGGTCATTTGGAAACTACTTCGCTACTACGGGGTGCCATCGACAATTATACATCTCATCTAACAGTTATACGACAATGCCAAGTAATCCACAACGAGAAACTTACGGAAGCCTTCGAAGTGAGGACGGGAGTGAGGCAAGGCTGGCTGCCTAATATCGCCAGTGGTCTTCCTGATTGCAGCAGATTGGACAATGCAACAGACAGCGGCGGTCAATGAGGAAACAGGCATAAAATGGAGCCTAACGAAAAACTTAGAGAATCTGGACTTCGCTGATGATATATGTCTGATTTCCCACAAGCTGGAAGATATGCAACTGAAAAGCAACACATTGGCAGGAGCATCCAGAGAAGATAGGACTCCCTTCAGGTGAACGTAGAGAAAACAGATGTGGTGATGGAGATTCCTGGCCAACAGCAACAACAACAACAGACAACCATCAGCCAGCATAAATGGGAGGAACCTGAAAGAAACAACCTCCTTTACCTGCCCACCCGGGAAACATCGTTTCAACTACAGGCGGAACTGACGAGGATATCAAAGCAGGGATAGGGAAAGCAAGACAAGCTTTCATTACTCTTAAGTCTGTGTGGAGGTCAACAGCGCTCGGCATCAAAAATAAGATCCTGATTTGCAACTCCAATGGGAAGTCAGTCAGTGCTACTATACGGATTAGAGACTTGGAGCGTCATAAAGAGCATCTCAAACAAACTTCAGATCTTCATTAACAGTTGTCTTCGTTCACTTCTCAAGATCAAATGACTGGCCAGAAAAGATCAGCAACAGGCATCTCTGGCAATGATCGAACCAACTAGGAACCGACTGTGAAACAAATAGGCAGGAAGAAATGGAGATGAATTAGCCATACTCTGAGGAAACCATCAAGTGACATCACTAGATAGGCCATCGCTCAAGTGGGACCCGAAAGGAAAGCGGCGAGTTGGTTGTCAGTGCGAGGGCGACTTGCAGGAGGTCTTGTGAAGGGAAGATGAAAGCATGTGGGCAGACTTGGAGCGGGGTGAAAAAGTTGGCAGAAAACCGAAGGCAATGGAGACGTGCAGCTGAAGTCCTATGTTTCCCTAGGAATTAAAGGGTATAATAATAGCCTGCATCAACCGTTTCACACGACGGCTTGAAGCAGCACTCCTCAAGGGCGTATCTGCTGAAACAGTCGCACGCGTCTTTGTAGAAAGATGGATCGCACACTTTAGTTGCCAAACCACCATAGCAACTGACCGCGGGCGGCAGTTCGAAAGCGGCTTATTCTTCGTCTTGATTAAAACCATAGGTTGTATGCGTTTTAAGACAACAGCCCACCATCCTCACACCAACGGTATAGTAGAGCGAAGCAATGGACAGTTGAAGGCTGGTTTATCAGCTGCAAACAATGCACATTGGACTGAATCACTTCCGTGAGTTCTCCTAGGTTTACGAAACGCCTTGAAAACTGATGCTAGTTGTACTACCGCCGAGCTAGCATATGGTGCAACACTACGACTGCCAGGTGGGTTTCTTTCTCCCTCTAGCTTTTCACCAGCGGTAGATCACGCATCATACGTCAGCAGGCTTACAAACGCAATGCTTTCGGTTAAACCTGCTCCCCTTCAACCACAGTCCATAGGCGTCTTTGTTCACCCGTGTTTGAAAACTTCTTCACATGCATTTGTTCTTCATGACTCTGTGCATCGCCCCCTGGAACCCTCGTACGACGGACCATATACAGTCATTAAAAGTATGGATAAATGTATCGTCTTAGACAAAAAAGGCCGCGAAGACACTGTCAGCATCGACTGTCCGAAACCGACCTACTTAGAAGGCAATCCTTTGAGCCTGGAGCTGAGCATTCCTAATAATACACAAGCAACCGAATAACCGTTAGTTCTCGAAGAAATCACTAGTAGGTCGAAGGCCACCGAAA